TTTGTGCAGTGCTCCATCAGCAGTGACCACTGGGTCCAGCCTTTAGAACTGCACTAAGAGAGGAAGCTCCAACACCCTGACCTCACCAGCCACCAATACTAAGAGATGTGCTGGGAGAGCAGGCACCTGGTCCAGCAAGGAAGCTGTTGCACGATGCAGTCCCAGGTTCAACTCAGAGGAAAACGGAACAGTGTGACATCAGTGCTTAATGAAGATGGCTTGGAGAGCATGAAGGATGCAGCACTTTAGCTACCTCATTGGCCTTCTGTCTTTGCTAGAAGGACAAGTTCTACAGTGCAGCATGAGCTCCTCATACAAGACCTAAAGGCAATCTAAAGTACAAAGTATCTGACATCCACACTGCAGATGCCCCATCCCTGGAGGCATTCAAGGCCAGGCTGGATGTGGCTTTAGGCAGCCTGGTCTGCTGGTTGGCGACCCTGCACATAGCAGGGGAGTTTGAAACTAGATGATCATTGTGGTCCTTTTCAACCCAGGCCATTCTATGTTTCTATGACATACCTACATCAAGATTAAGGATAAGAAATTACCATTTCACATAATTCTGACAGGGCAGACTACCTCTGTATTAGCAATAAAGCACTTCTAGCTTCCAAAACTGACCTCAAAATAACGTACTTCTGCAGAGCTGAGCTGATGAAGCACCACGGGACCAACCAGCGCACACAACCACGCCGTACCATACCCTTCCCGCGATGACCTCGGGCTAAGAACTCCACCTGCATTACACCGAAACAAAATGCGACGTGAGGGCGGCTCAGGGAAGAAAAGAATGAAGTCCGAATCTCCACCTCCCCGACACGAATGGCTCAGCACGGCCCGTGCCCCAGCTCCTCCCGCTCCCCGCACTGCCGGCTCCCAGCCCCGGCGCTCCCCGGTACCGCGGACCCTCCCTCCCCGCGGGGCCCGGCTCGGCACGAGGCCGGCTCCGACCTCCCCGGCGGCATTTCCCGACGCTCCGCTCCCGCCCCGCGGTCTCCCGGCGGCGTCGTCGTCGTCGGCCCGGCACATCGCCGCCCCCCGGCCTCGCCCCCAACCCGAACCCCGCGGCCCCCCGCCCGGCGGCCCCGAGGCGGCCCCGGCGGAGGGGAAGGCCCCGGCCCGCCGCCCGGGGGGAGAGGAGCCCTGCTCGGCGCCGGGGCGCGGCGGGGAGGGCCGCCCCTCCGACCGCACTCACCGCCGAAGCACCTCCAGCGGCCGGGCGCAGCACAGGGAAGGCGGCGGCGGGCCGGGCCGGGCCGGCGGCGCTGGCGGGCTCGGGCCGTGCGAGGGGCGGGGAGGACGAGGAGGAGGAGGAGGGGGAGGGGGCGGGAGGACGCGGGGGGGGCGCCGGGAGGAGGCGCGCGGCCGAATGGCGGCCGCCTCACCGCCCCCCCGGGCCCGCCCGCCGCCCAACCGGAAGCGCCGGCGCCGCTCGTGGCCCCGCCCCTCGCGGCCTCCCGCCTTCCCTCGCCGTGACGGGCGGGCGGCGCGCGGCGCCGGTCACGTGGTGCCGCCGTGAGGCGGGGCCGCTGAGGAGGCGGTAGGCGGGTGCGGCGGCTGCCGCGCGGTTACCTGCGGGACGGCGTGCGGGGTTACTCCGGTCCGCATCTTCCCGCATAATCCTATATTAAATTAAGGGACGAATCTCTCGCTCACAGTGACGCCTGCAAAGATTGTGTTTAATTCGGAGAAGTCACGTTCCCTTTGTCAATTCGGTAACCCTTCTTCAAACCGGCAGGCAGATGTCTCGTGTCAGCTGTTGTGCTGGGTCACCCGCTCTGCCTGCCTGTCTTGCTGTGTTCCGTAATGCTCAGAAAGGCACTTCTCTGTGAAACCTACGTTTGTCGTGGGGTTGCTAAAGCAGCACTAGGTGAAGCTTTGGCCAATGAAAGGCAGCTTTCTGTCAGGAAAGGCTTTACAGAAAGGGTTGTTAAGCACTGGAATAGGCTCCCCAGGGAGGTGGTTGAGTCACCATCCCTGGATGTGTTTAAGAACCATTTGGATGTGGTGCTCAGGGACATGATTTAGCGGAGGGTTGTTGGAGTTAGGGTAGTATGGTTAGGTTGTGGTTGGACTCCATGATCTTGAAGGTCTTTTCCAACCTGAGTGATTCTATGATTCTATGACTCACATTATTTGTGTAGCTGTGTTTGGTTCTGCCCCTTCCAAGACCACTTCATTATTTATTTTGCTGGCATTTTAATATAAATATTTCATAGAATCATAGAATCACAAGGTTGGAAAGGACCTACAAGACCATCACCACGACTACCCACTAAGCTACTGAACCACACCTCGTAGCACCTAACCTTGTGTCAGGCTGCCACAGGTAAGAGCCCTGTTGGATGCTCTCACAGTGGTCCCATGACTCCCAGCAGCTGTACCATTAGTACATGCTGCTACAGATTCAACTTGTCACTGATGCTGATGTTGCTAAACAGGCTTCCCAGTCTGTCCAAGTGCCTGTGCCATAAGTGCAGAGAGCAGCTGAGGTATGAGGTCCTGTCCAGAAAGTAAACCTTATAGTACCTTCTTTTTCTTTTAAAGTCTCCCGACCATTCAATCTTAGTTTAGTGCTTCTGAATAAATTGTTGGTCTTTTGCCAAAGGTTTTTGGCTACTGCATCTTGGATGCAAATTTCAGTAGCAATGAGGTAACAAGGTCTTTTTTGGTAATGTTATTCAGAGCAGTAAGGATGAGAGCCACTGTGAAGAGCTGTCACGTGCCATCACCACACTGAATGACAGAATCTCAGATGTCCAGACATAAATAGGAATAAAAGTTACAATCCAAACTTTAAGGTTGTATTACTACCAGCTTTGATGTATTGATTTTATTCAGGGAAAAGTGACTTGGGATGTTAGTAGGGAATTCTGTGACAGTGTCACTTGAGTACTGTCAGCAAACAAGTTGGGCATAAGGACATCTTAAGAGTAAATGAGAATAAATCTATGGGTGAGAAACATATCATTTTTTTCTGTTCAACATCTTAAATCCTTCGATAGGTCATCTACAAAAGGCAGTACTCATCAGCATCTCTTCAGCTGATTTCTGCTTTAAAGATCCTCAGCATAGTTCCTGTTGAACTTGAACCACCAAAGCCAGGTGCTGGCTGTTCACTGGTCCTTGTGTTCAGATGGAGGGCTGTGCGAAACCCTTTCTTGTCTCAGGGACTGAGTGATGGCTTAGTGCATGCTTGGTGGAGACAAAGTCTGCGCAGAACTAGCTTTGTCCTTGGAAACGAGCACTGTTGATCTCATAGTTTCATACTGATCTCTTAAAAACATATCTTAAAAATTTTTTTCTAATGGTAAAATTCAGGGAAGCATTTGACACATGGAGCTTCTTACTGTGCCTTCAGTCAAGAAAATACTGTAAAAATACTTTCAGCCATCCTCGTGAATATTTGGCTCAAATTTTCAATAATTAACAAACATAATTTGAACAATTATATCTTTTCACACTTCTGCTTGCATTGGAAAAAGGACAGCCTGCCAGGACTGAGATGAAGCGTCTTGGCAGACAGGTTTGGTGTTGCTGTTTACAGGTTAGGAGGAATGAGCATCGTGGTGTCCTCACCACAGGAGACCTATCTGAGCTCTTCTGTCAGTTTCCTCACCCAGCAAAGGCTTACACTGCATCTCCATCGCTGGTGCAGAGGTGAGGAGGCCCAGATGCAGGTGTGCTCTTAAGCATGCACTGATGCAGTAAGTAGAAAAAGTTTATTGCACTGTTACACTTCTGGAAATGAAAATCTCTGTTGGTGCTAAAGCTGCTCAGCATGCTGGGAAGCTGTCAGACAGCTCTGACTTTATAGTAATGGCAGAAGATATTTTGAAAAGTGACATAATTTAAATGCTGTAATTTATACTGAATGCTCTTTCCTGCCTGCTGAGCACAATTCTGACGGGAAATGTTTCTCCAGAGAAAGCACAAATTTACATTTCTTTTTCAAGCGTGAAGTTCTGTGATACTTCCATTCTTCTGGTTTTTGAAAGTCCTCTGTGGTTTTTGTCTGAACAATAGCGCATCATACAACAGTGCATATACGAAAAAAATTGTAATAGCACAAAGTTAAACACAAAGTTAATTAAGAAATTAAATAACTGAGTGCTGGGTGACAGCAGTAATTGGCTTTCTTTTCTAAGTCTTTTGGCAAGAAGATATTTTTAAAAGCAACACAGACACAAGAGTTTAATTCCTCTCCTTTATAGAAGCTCAGTCATTGGTTTGGCTGTTTTTTGGCAGGGTTTTTTTTTGTTTTGTTTTGTTGAGAATGTGTCCACTCCATGTTTTATACACGTCTGATACAGCAGCAGTTGTCATCATTTGCCACCTGAGGATTTCTGGCTTACAGTGTGGGGAAAACCACAAGACCTCCAAAACAGCTTCTGCTTTCACTTTCAGATAGAATCTGCATACAAACCTCAGCAGTGCTAAAACATTAACCAAAACCTGTAGTGTTTTCAGAAGGCCTGGTAGTTGTCCCCCTGATCTGCTGTAACATCAGGTGGCATTTAGCAGTGATCCGTCACACCTCACTGCCCACACGGAGGCAGTATGTTTTTCAGCACTCCTGGCTAAGTGTCTGTGCTATCTCTCTGTAGGTACCACGGGAACAGGCTGGCACCACAGATGGGGCACCTGCATGATTTTCAGGTTCGTTTCCTTTTGAATACAGGACGTGGACGTCAGAGTGGTCACTTGTCATCAGCTCCCAGCTCTTTATGCAAAGGCACATGACAGCAAGCTAAGGCTTGTTGCTCTTCTCCTATTCTCCTTTGGGAAAAATCTTCCAGCCCAAACCATGCATGCAGCGTGAAGAGGTAAGCCACATACCTCCCAAGAGTTTCTGGAAATGGCTTTTAGCCATTTGTTTTTCAGTAAAAATAAACAGCAGAATGTGTTTAAAAATGGAATCTGAAATTGGCAGAATGATGTTTGGGAATTGAATCGCCTGCTCTTTAAAACTGCTACAGGAATGAGTGCAGATTTTTTACTGAATATTTATATCCCACATCAGTTTCCTTTGACACAATAGATCATGACAGAATGGAACCTAACTCCATCTTGACAGACAAGGTGATTTCCATATTGCAAAATTTTGATGACCTTGGAATCCAATAAGAAATGGGACAACAGAAATTGAGTGAAGCTATCAAGGTGGTGAAGATTTGTTTTAAAGAAGAGAGCACTATACTGTAAAGACAAAGAAGCAGATGGCACCAAAATCAGCTGTGATGTAACTAGATACAATTCCCGTTTCTCAGGGAAGCTGGATCTACTTTCAGCAAAGCTGAATTTGCAAAACAAAGTTGCTATTGTGGAAATAAAGCTCTCACGCCACAGTGACTCTGTACAAAGACAGGCTGTAAGCCTGCATTTATTTTGTGTCATCAGGAGGCGCATAGGAAAAAGAGCAAGCACTGAGCAGGTGGCAACTCCTCCTGCCCGGCTTTCCCTGTGAATATCAATGTTCTGGATACCCTGTCTGTGCAGATGTGTAAGCCCAAGGCCAGCTTCCCTGCAGTCAAACGGTATGCAGGTGTCCTAGTTAGTGAGGGGGTGACAGCTTTTCCCAAAAGATGTGAATGTTCAAGCCCTGACAGTTTTTACTGAGCCAAGATTTCAAGTCCAATCTTTGATAACTAAGAGGTGGCAAATCCTCAAGTGGAAGCTTACTGCTAAAGAAACTATTTAGTTACTCACCTGTAATGCCAGCCACCTTTGGCCAAAAATAGCAAGGATGTGAGGATGTGCACAAGCTCTTCTTCTCTTGCTCTTATGGGTTCCTCTCACAAACAAGACCCTTCCTTGAGCCAGCACAGCTCTGCCCACATCCCCTGGATACCTCAGTGGGTTGTAAATGGTTGCTTTTACGCAGACCCCAAATCCATTGAGCCCTGTCTGCCTCTGCTGCAGAACTGTCCTGGTTAGGTCTCCTTCTTCTCAGACCAAGCCAGGCTGTTTCACTCAGCCAGGAAGCTGAACTCAAATCCCTTCTCAGCAGTCAGAATAAACCTGATAAACAAGATAAACTTTAGATGAAGATAAAACCAAATGGTTTTCCAACAGTTGTTTCACTTAAGCTTTGAAGTAGTTTTAGTTGGCCTCTCACTTACATAGTTTGATATTAAAATTCTTCTCAACGCTATTTTTATCTGTTTCTGAGGAATACTGAGTAGCACAGCACCCTACTTATGTTTGTTTTTAGAGTACAGACAAAAAAAAAAAAAAGCTACAAAAGATCACTTCTTAAAATCATAGTGAAAATCTTGTTGCTTTTATTCATGTAATGCTTAATATCTTGGAAAATACAATCAATAATTTTTCAGATCTAGAACAACTAAATGTTACGCTTAACAAAATGCTCCAAGAGGATGTAAAAAATAAATGAATGTCTTACTATTTCACTTAACCAACACAGCAGATCTCGGTTTTGGATGACTGTGAAACTTTCAGCTGTAAAAGATGAGTAAGTTTTGCCCTTCCATAAACATGCAGCCGTTGTTGAAACCGATGGAAACACTGTAAATATATATATATATATATATACACACACATATATATGTGCCTGCATCAGAGGTCAGAATTTGACTTGGATCTTACAAAATGGGACTTTGCAGCTGACACTTATGTTTGTTTTTCTTCAAACAAACTGAACTTCAGAACTCTCACGTGTCTTACATTGTCCAGATCCTGCAACCGCAACTTACATCAAACATCAGCATATAAAAAGTCATCACTGTACAATCACTTTTTGAAAAGTCAGTGTCAAAACCATAAAAAAACAGCGAATTTAAGAAAACCAGATGCACTGTTTAAGTGCTGAGGTTTGTGTTAGCTTTTTTCTGCTTTAAGTACAAGAATCCATTAAAACATAAAAGGCAGAAGTGGCTCCAAAAATGACAAACACTCAAACAACACACTTGCAGCTTTAATAACACTCATTAGACACTGTAGTTAATTGAAAAACAATGTGAACACAACAAGGTACATACAGACACCCATTGCCATTCCTTGTGCCCTGCAAACAGGCTGGCTGCAGAGCTCCCCGGGCTGCTCAGTGCTGGCAGCACTGCCGTGTGCAGGAAGGGGCCCTGGGACTGCCAGGCACCCAACACACTGGAAGTGCTTCAGGCCTCACAATGACACAAATCCACATTTTGTTTCTTTAGACTTGGAAAGGTGAGATCGCTTCTGAAGTTTTCTATAAATATTCCTTTAAAACTATTAGAGATTTTATATCTCAAGGTGAATCTAATAAAACATCAGACTGCTTTTACATTGGGCAAATGGTGTTTGCTCTGCTTTATGTAAAAAAACAATCATATTTCTTTGCTGTAAGATACTTTATATAGCTCCAGTCGCTCTTTCCTTTATTTCAGAGGAAGTAAGAGAAAGCTATGACAATTTTGTTGGTGTTGGGCTTCTGAAACAGCTCTATGTGGCGATGTTGAATCTGAAGTTCATCCATTTCCACAAGTCTTTCCTCTAGTTTGTTTTATTCTGCTTCCTCACTCTTCTCAGAGCCACCTCCCACTGAGTTATCCACCTCATACTTTTTGTCAAGGGCATCTTCAGAAGACTTCCCACTGCAGTCGTAGGCTTTACTCGTGGATCCCGTATGCGTTCGGATGCGAGCCCCTGGCTGGTACAGCTGCATGGCTGGGCGATCCTAGGGGGGAGCAGATGAGGTTAACTCTCTGAGAAACCTGTGTGGGATACACAGGTGGGGTTTTAAAGAGATCAGTTTTTGTGAAGAAAGCAGATTTTGTGTTAAATTACTTTATGTATCGTAAGAGCTGGGAAAAAATGAATTGTAATGAAAATCAACTGAGTATTCAATATCTGTCTTGCTTACAACACTATTCTTGAAAGCCAAGCATTTTGAATAAGAGAAGAAAGCTGTGAAAAGAAAAGATTTTATGACGCATTTGACATAAACAAGGAGAAATACTGCTGGCTATTATCAAACACAGTACTACTATGCATGCTTAGGTAATACTCTGAAATATATTGCTACCTTCACCAACAGCGACCAGGAACAACGACAGCCTGCACACTTGCAACTTGGCAGATGAGTGACAAATATTAACTATAAGCACAATAAAATGAGACAAACCAGGGCGCCTGTTAGCAGATAACAGCTAGAAAATTATCCTCAACTGAATGTGTTCAGTGCTGCTGACTCAGTCACGTGTGTGACCACTGGGAAATGGGAGAAGGAGCAATGTAGAAGGAAAAGAGACCTTGAGCCTGCAAATGGGGAAGTTCCACAGCTCTTGAGAGTGCTTTTTATTATTGAAATTTCAACAATAAAATGTATTATAGAAATGCTGCTTAAGAAGTCTTTTCCTAGTAGATTGTTTATTTTACTCACAAAAATACCAGTTTTTAATGTTATGGAGCAAGCCATTCACTACAACCACAGCTTTTTGATCAAATTCTTGCATTAAGTTTTGCAAGCAAAATAAACAACCTATTTTAAAACAGCCCTTTTTTTTTTTTTTTGCACGAACTGACCCACACAGCTTGCACAGTGAGTTCACCCGGGCCAGCTTTGTATGTGATGCATATGGACTCATGCCATACATGACCAGCTCACTCCTTGGCAGCTCTCCTCCCCAACCCGTATCAGGAATTTGGTTTGAAAGAAGAGATTCACATGCTGAATAAATTTCTACACAAAATAATGTTTCAGTGCAGAAAATCGAGGACCAGAACCGATAGAGAATGAGGTTGACAAGGATAACCACCTCGTGAAAAGACTCATGGCACAGCCATGAAATCAGAGTCTGAGAAAAATGATGCCCGTGTCCCTGGGAGATGAGGAGTGACAGCTCTGCTACACACCCTGCTACCAGCCCCATTTGCACTGTTTTTGCACCTGTTCTTTCCCTGACATCGAACACAAATGTAATTTGTCCTAAGCAAACAACATCCTTCTCCAACTGACAGGAGTACAGCATTGAAGAAATGGCACATTCCTCTAAATAGCACTGTTTCTGAATTAGCTATTTAGATATGTCATTACTTACGTTATGTCCTTAATGATGTCCTTGCCAATTGTAAGGGCCTTATGGGCATGGTAATGAAAACACAAAGATGAGCATGCCACAGTTGTTGAATTTCATTGCAAACTAGAAGTATAACAATTTTTAATAGGCTCATAAAATACAAGGCCTCCAAGAATAGTGTTCTAAAAATGCTAGGATTGAAAGTAAGACAGAAAGTATGTTGAATATGGTACATACAAATGAGCAGAGACCTGTGACCGTAACTTATTTTAACTGCTGTTGTCCTTTGACAGCAATATAAAGAAGTTCGGGTTTTCCTGAAAATGAAATAAAGAATTTTTTTTTTTTAAGCATCTTTATGCTAAGTTTGCAAAAGGAAAACCTGTGATCTTGAAGCATATTTAACTAATGAAAGATTATCCTAAATGAATAAAAGAACCTTATTTCTTATGCGCTCCTTTTTGGATGCCATGTCATCACACTTGTCCTCTTTACCCAGTTTGTCTACTGCCTCCACAGTGAAGCTGTAGTTGTGGTTCCCTTTCTTTCCTCTGTCTTGGTTGTATCCTTTCCCCCATTTCAGCTCTTCTTCATTCCTTCTCACAAACTTGTCAAACTCATAGTGAGTTCTATGCTTTCTGCCATCATCCAGTCGATACCTTTGCCTTTCAGGTTCTTTTTCTCGAAATCTTCTCTCCAAATCTCTTTGCTCTTTGTCACTATCATTTTGTGACCTATAAGTGTGTAGAAAAAGAAAGAAAATCCAAGCAATAAACAGCTTAAAAAAAAAAAAAGCTATTGACATATAGAATACAAAGCCTCACTTCGTCTTCAACAATCTTTAGGTCAGGTATATGTGAAGGCTGTTTTTCCTTTAATAAAGAAGAGTTATGTGCAATTTTGCTGAATGTCTCACTTGTGTATGTCCAGCTCTCCATGATGCATTAAGTTCAGAAAGTAGCAGATAAAACTTTGCAAGCAAAATCTGGTTTTTGTGCACCTACTGTGGGAAGCCTCTGCTCCAACCTTTATCCCCCTCTGCAATCCCTTAAGTGTTCCCCAGTGCTCCTCACATAACCATGTGCTGCATGACCAGGTCTTGTGGCTGCTCTTGAGAAGAGCCGAACCTATGGACAAGAATACTGCCTTGAAAGGGAGCATTCAGGGCCCAAAGGAGCTGTGCACATACTGTGCAACCATCTATTAGCAAAAATTATTCACTGACAAACACTGGAACTTCTGGGAGGTATTTTGAAAACGAATGCTTGCATTCCCAGCATTTGTTTATTTTGCCTCAAACACTTTTGCCTACCTGAATATTTCTTTTTGTTGGCATCATTACCTTATCACAACGTAATACTTAAATTTATGCTATGCTGCAATGGGTTTATATTATAAAGACTCTTAGTTTGCAACATTTTGCTGCCTGTCTTATAGAACTCTCAGCTCTCTCATTCACTTCATTGTTCCAGTTCAGCAAGCATGTGCTTCTCTCATAAAACAAAACTGTAAATAATGAAGAAAGATTACAGAGTAGATTAAATTTTAAAAGCAGCAAATACGGGTAGTTTCTTTTTATATGTTTCATAAATTTGAATGCTTAAAATTGAAGGAGGAAAGTCCCAGCAAGGCTCTGGAACGTGTCCTTTCCAAAGACAGGGGGCACACCCAGACTCAGACACAGCTGCTGCAGTGCTTCCCAATGCCCTGCTATCTCCTCCTGCAAGTGATGGAGGAACACTTGAGCCCAGTGAGAGGGAGACAGACGCCAGCTGCAGTGTGGCTGGAGCAGCTTTCTACAGCTCAGTCATAGGGAAGAGGAGTGGAAACAAAGGGAAAAGCAATAACTTGATTACAAAGTAATTGTAGAAAGTTATAGCTACCAAGCTTTAAATCAGCCCCTCATGTAGAGTTCCAAGTTCTGGTTTATTTCTGTGTCAATAACACAGTATCTATTAACCATAATAATCAGTTTTCATGATGAAGCAAGCACTTGGAAAGACAAGGTAACTTACTGTACATGGACAGCCAAAAGGATTCTCTTTTACACTTGGAAAAGCTATACTGACGTCTCATTAAATTTACAGGATCAATACTAAAAATGCTATGTGGCAGAACATAAAACTTAGTCCATAAAAAGCCTTATTAGCAAAAAATTGACTCGCCCCTGCCAGCATTTTTGGGCACTTTTCCTGTGCTGTTTTTCCTTTGCTGAAGAACATCAACCCGAATATTTCCTGAATATTTTCATTTTCCACCAGAGAATGGAAAATTCAAGTTTTCAGCACCTTTCAGCACCTTTCAGGACATGGCATGCTGAAACTCTAAGCCCATGTTTCAGGTCCCTGGTCACAAATAAAAGAGATGAGCAATATATGTAAAATATTATGGGTGAATTAAGTGTTTTACTTAGCAAATTTGTTGGGTTTATTTTCCACTGTTTACATTTCTTTACTTTTCTGTTTGCTTTTATGAGAACATTTGCAGCTCCTGTACTCTCTTCACAAAACTCAATAACCTAAGTGGAGAATGGTAACATTTAGAGTACTCGGCCTCCTACAGCACAATCCTGATCTTTCTCTGACACATCACATATATAACCTTAGGTAAGTTATTTAAATGCTCTGTTCATCCATATGTACAACTTACACACACGCATGACATCTCAAATGCAGCTCTTTCATTTTTGCAAAGTACTTTTTTTGAGAGCTCAGTGGAAAACACAATAGGAAAAGTGTTATCTTAGCAACGTTACTCTTACATTACATCTCTCTCGGGTGAATTCTGCTCACAGTGAGACACACACACCAAAGAATAAAAGAGAGAACCAGCTGCTGAACACTTCCAACACACTTTGAGTATACAGTAGCTACAGAAGCGAGCTATACCTCTTGTTCCTACTATTGCATATGCTACACAAAAGGCAGTGAGAGACAGAGACAATCTTCTGCATCTATCATAAGGCTGTCAGTCACACCTCAACTATTTTGCCATTGTCCCAAATCAAACACAATCATCTGCTTTTTGCAGTGAAAATAAAGAAGGTGTGATGAAAAGTAAGGACTGGAGGCAATTTAGGCTTTGACATCGGTAATGGAAATAGGGCTTTACCCGAACTCTTGATATGGAACAGGTGATATAAGAATGGAACTCAATTACTTTTCACACAGAAATCCTTTCAATCTGGGATTTCAAAGCATTTCACAAATAATAAACTGCATCCACTACGACTACCATCAGGTCAGTAAGTTGTTACTAATCACTTTTTACAAAAAGGACAGTGAGAGATTCGTACACATGCAAAATGAAATCATCTCCCTTCTGACAACACCCAGCCAAACTCTTACATCATGGCTAAGCCTTCAAATCAAAGCTTTTAGGAACTAATTTGGAGTCCCTAAGATAAATAATACTTACTTCTCCTTAAGCTCTTTTAGTGAACCTTCCAGTGATTTGGATCTTATACTTCCAGGTCCAGGAGATTTATCCCACTTGCTTTCTTCAGTGTCAGCTTCTTCATCTTTTTCTTTGTGCTTCTCACTGGCTGGCTCATCTCCTTTTTCAGGCTTCTTAAGAAGCTAAAAACATTTGTTTATATGATGACATAAGGTTATAATCTTCTGTTGTAATGGATATTTTAACAATATATTGAATATAACAACGGCCTGCTAAGATTTAAGATATCTTATTAAATGCTATGACTATCTTTTATAAAGTATATATTTGTAAAAGTTATTTTTAAACAGCAGTTTACTTTTGTTAAGGAGGTACAGTCACTAACAGGCATTCACCAGCATGCTTTAAATTTGTCAAGAATATTGGAGAAAGCACTTACCTACTCTTCTCTCCTGAGTTTTATGCATAGTCAATGATTTCTTAGAAATCATGTAACAACTGAGCTCAACGTCATTGCCAATAAAATAAAAGCAGAACCTCTACAATACTACAAAAAGAGCAGGATTAATAGTTCACTCCTTCAAGTATTATATATAAAATGTGTGATACACTGTTCGGGACTGGCTGGCATATGGAAATAGGTGCTTTGTGTAAATACACCAAAACATACAGACTGAGGGAAAATTAAGGAGTTAGCAGGAAATATTGTATTACTTTGTAACTTTGGAGATTAAACTTTCCAAGAATTCTGTTAATTCCTCAACAAATAATCCACACAGGGCTTGAACAGTACCTAGAGTTACAGCAATAACCTCTACAGAAGGACCAAGTGTCTGAAAGTAGTCTTCTAACATTTCAATAACAAGTAGAATATCTCAACAAACTTTTCATTCCATTTTTTTTTTTTCCCTGAAAAGTTTTTATTCTTCAATACCTAAAAGAACCTAAAATGTTTCTCTTAGGTAGTATTTTTTCTTTCCTCAGGGACAGAACTAGTTTTCAAGGTCACATTCCCATAGATGACAGGTCATAAGTACTAGAGTTTTTCGGACAACAAATTTTGGGAAATATCTTTTAAAGGACAAGTCCCTTTTTTTCTGAAGTTCTAGAATGTTTGGCCTTACACACAAATATGAAAAAAGTGTAACTGCTTCAAAACATACTGTTCCCATACATTTAGATGGAGGCAAGTGTTGTCTGAGATGAAAAGGAAAAGGAGAAAGCTATGTCGCTTTTTGGTTTGACTCCCTCACAAGATCTGGATTGAGTCTGTGCATCCTTGTATTAGCCTACAGATTCTTACATCAGTTTATCTCATCAAAGAGCCTACAAAACCTTTCCAGCACCACAAAATTTAGATGTGAATAGTTTAGTATTCATTTAGAAATGAATAATTTTTTTTATGTTTCTTGTCTTATACAAAAAAGTTTTTAAATGTGGAGGCTTAATACCACAAAATGCATCTAAGTCATTAAAAGCACATCCATTCAGAGTGTTAAAATATAACACAGATTGAAATTATATATAATGTTGTTAATATATACAATTAGTACAGTTATATATGATAATATTTACACATTCTATAAAAATAATGTATAATTATAACATTATTAAAATATATACTTATTTATAAATTATAACAAGACTTTTTAATAACTGGGTTAAAGAATACTATTAAAATAAACCAGTTCTGAGCATAAACAAAAAACATCCTCAGCACATAAGGCTAGATTTACATGACAAAGAGCTAAAAGCCATATTTGCATTAATGCTCTGATGTGTTAGCACAGAACAATCTGGTTCTGTCAGGTTATGTCAGCACAGAATGTGGCATTGTTCTATAAGGATATACTCAGTTGCCTGCCATTGTAACTGCATTAGCAAATCATTGCATCTAAGGTAATTAGTCAGACTTTTCTGCAACAGTGCTTAGTCCAACCCTTACTTTATTTCTCCTCCAGTAAAAACGACTTTGCTATCACCACACCATACCGTAGTACACAGTATAAACAGCATGAAACCAAAAGAACTTCTCAATAACTTCAACGGAGGAGGTTTGGTTTGGTTTTGTTAAGGTACCTTGATCCTTATTTCTTTTTCAGAAATTTTCTTATGTTTCTCTGCTTCTTTCCTTTTACGTCTTTCCTCCTCTCTGCGTTTCCTTTTCTCTTCTTCTCTCAGACGCTTCTTCTCCAATTCCCTCCGCCTTCGTTCCTCCCTTTTCTCCTCTCGAATTCTCTGAAGAGGTCAAAACGATTAATTGTAAATTGCCCAACGGAAAACCACTTGAAACATAAATGTTGAACTTCAGGCAAAAATCTGAACGTACCTGCTTTTCTAATTTTCTATTTTTAATATATTCCAAAAGGGGTGTTGTTCTTCTAGCTAAAACACAAAAAATTTGTGATATAGTGTTCAACTCCTAAAATATGTACTCATTTCTTTAGTTCAGTACCAATCCCTTCTTTCTAACTTTATCTGCAAGGGAGCCAAATAATATATAAACCTATTTATTTTATATAATTCTGGATGGTATTCCATCATTCCATTTTAGAAACACATTATTTGGGATTGTTGGTTGTTTTCTTTTTTTTGCTGAAAGGGTAAGAAGCAACAGAGATATGTTGCTTGATTATTTCAGTTTTAAATTTAAAATCATATATTTTCAGAAAATGGCATCTTGCTCATCAAAAAAATAAATGTGTTCAGTATCTAATTCTACCACATTCCTACCACTATATCTATTCCTCTTTTAACTTTCGTACATCAAAACCTACTTAGATTGCTGTTCACATACAGTCCACATTACTGTAATCTTACATATCACTCTTCAGTCCCAAATTTTAAAGTACATTATGAAAGAAACATTTTCATTTACATATATCATTTTCATTGGACTCCCATTTAGCATTCACCATTCCATGGGAGAACAAGAATAATAAAAGATAAATTGTTTGTCCCAGGATACAACAAAGTGTCAACAGATTCAACAAAGCTCTGGTTTCCCAAGTAACATATTTGGGTGATCATTTGCTGAATCACACAGCCAGCTTATGTTACAGAACTATCTTCATACTCCAAAATCAAGCCTAAGTCACTTGCCTGAGCCATCCTTAAATTCTACTAAAGTTTGAAGACATCATCAAATTCTTTATCATATATATGGCACCTATGATTGTCAACATTGAATTCAAACTTGAACTCACATACTGTGAGTAGAAAAGAATGTTGGCAGTCTTAGATGACCCAGAACAGAGTTACAGAAAATACTTAGAGCTAAAAAATGCTCCACAATTTTTATAGTCTCTTCCTGAAACCAGAGGAGAACAGCAAATGATACAATTTGGAAGAAAGAATAGAAAAGGGAAAAAAAAAAAAAAAAAGAAATTCTCCATCAAATTTAAAATGGTGTAGCCGAAATCTAGACATAACCTCCTATCCCAAAAACATTTGAATGTTTTTGTTTAGAATATCTAAATAACTTAAGAGCAAAAAATAAACAAACGAACAAAAAACCTAAACAAAAAAACTTTCTTATGAAGTTATGAATTGGAAGGTTTGATTTGATTCAGTGTTTATCTTTAGGAAATATCAATGTTCAAAAGCAAGAAGCAAAACAGACTTGCTGGTTTGGGATATTCCTCTCTCTACCCCTATATTTCCAGTGCTTTTTCTTTCTTTCCCGCGTGCCCATAATTTCTGACAAATTTTAGGTCCTTACTGTCCTCCCTTCCAGTCTCTCAAATCTGCAGCTCTGCCGCCCTCTCCTGCCCCTGTAAGTTCCCTGTCTGAGCATCTCTGGTCATTTCCATACGCTGGAATTGACCACAGATTGTCACCAGAAGGTATGGGGAAGAATCTGCCACACCAGGGCTCCAGCACCTGATTCTAGACATGACTAAGGCTGGAGGGGGTTGCAAGGGGTTGGATCAGAAATGGCAACATGGAAGTTCACAGAAGAGAGGCGGTGTGACGAGTACTATCAGAAGAGGAAGATAAAAAAAGATGCATATCAATAAAATTTGAATCATACTCCCCTCATTTATAAGCCTTACTCTAAATGAAAATCTAAGGTTTTTCTGTAAACATTTAAGAAATGTTAAAAGAAAATAAATTATAAAATGAAGAACTCCATCAGCAATAACTTTTATATTTTATCTTGCTTTCTACAAACAAACCAGAAGAATGAGCTTACCTTTTTCCTGTTACAGAGAAATTCTGTTTTATATCTCTCTGTCACACTGAAATTGATGAGCTAACGCATCTGACGCGATGCACAAACCATGCTGGTTTGCAGTAGCAACACTACCTGGAGAAATGCTGAGAATGTAAGGCCCAATTCTGCCAACAAAGTCCTGGGCACATCTTTCATTAACTTAAGTAGTTATTAGCACCTTTGAAACTACGCATTCACATAACCTAACGTCTCACACGCTTTTGCTATAAACTTGCTATCCACTGAAGTGATCTATGTTTTTGTACTGATAGCAAAAAACAACTGATTAGATTTTCTGTGGTTTAACACACACAGAATGTTAACATTCCCTGTATCAAGCTGCTTTCAGGCAACTTTGTTATTTTGAAATCTGTGGCTCTCAAGACTACTAATTTTCACTGAGAGTCAGAGTATTTTTAAGTTAATTTTTCTGGAAAATGTAGACTTCCTTAGAAAAAGTTGAGTGCTTGTGCCCTGCTCTTAAATACTAGGATGATTTGGGAGTAAATAAAAATTATTGGGGAACTTCCATATTGAGAAGAGCAACAGTGTTACTGATACCAGAATTTGCTAAATGTCCACAGTTGTGTAACTTCCATTTCTTCTAAATTGTTTAAGTTCCACATCTTCCCAGTACTTTTAAATTATAAAGAAATAACTGCAAAAGTTGTTTTTTGGTTGGTTGGTTTTGCATTTTTTTTCCTAGCAAATTGTCACACCAGGGGAAAGAGTGAGCACTCTAGACATTGTCACTTAGAGGGGCAGTAATCACTGTTACCCTGAAAGCTGCGTTCTGGCAGCTGCCAAGTTCCAGTATTCTGGAAAGAGTTATCTGTGTTTCTCAGTGTGATGTGGCACTATTATTTAGAAGCTTTGAAAAGATATAGATCACATCACATCTAGAATGAAAAATAAGTCTTTCCTATCCCAGGAAAATTTTCTCTCACTAATGTAGGAGTTCTGAAAGAGCTTTGACAATCTACTAAAATGCAGAACTACTCCAAGCCAGAGCTGGACAGGGCTGCTTGCCCTTAGCATGTTGGTAGGGAGGCTTCATCACCTGTGACCACCTCCTGCAATGCTTACTGCTCCTCATCATTCATGTCTGTGCTGCAAACTCTGTTAACAGCTTTATTTTTCTTTATGTAGTTCAGTTTTCTAACAGTCCTAGCAATTAAGATATTCTGACCTCAGAAAAACGTGAGCAGTCAGCACTGCTGTGCTGAGCATTGCATTTCATCCCATCTGCTTTTTTTTTCACATCTTTCCAGATCTGTCTTGTGCATCTTCTAATAACAGCCTTCTCCTACACGTTTGCTGATAGTCAAATAATTATCTAAAGCATGACACTACTGTGGAGTGTTACAGTCACTACAGTCAGTCCCATAAAGGTATTCTTTGAAAGACTGATTTGAAAAGAAGAAAAAGCATCATATTTCTGTTATACAGCACAATATGGATCACAGCACACAGCTTGCCTTTCGTTGACAATACACTCATGATTTGTGCTTGTAACTAGTAATATTCATATTGCTGAAACCTGTAATTGAAATTTGATGTAATTTATTCAGGAAGATTTCAGTGATATCTTATTAAAGATTCCCCATGAGACTGTGAAAGTCATGCTGCATGCATATAAAGAATAAAGCGTAGCCTTACTTTCAAAGCTTTTGCAAAACCTTGACTTTGAGAACAGAGGTCATTTCAAGTTTCACAATAAAAGCAGCTAATGTCAGAGAGCAACTGTTAAGTATTTAGCTATCTTATCTTTTAAAAAGAAATCTTACATCTTTTTATAACACGTCTGTAAGCATTTAGAAGTATGAAGGACCTAACTGAAGCCACTCCCCATGCAGAACTTCTGATGAAGTCAAGTGATTCCATGCACAGAGCCTTGAAAGAACAGGAGAAGTGTTTCCTCTCACTACTTGGCTGTGGAATAAAAATTCTAAGTGTGATAACCTCAGCCTCTATCAGATTGAACAGGTCATATCATGCAGGTAATACCTTAAAGATATAGAAATAATATATTTAATATTCTCAAAAATAAGAAAAGTCAAGAAAACAGACCAATGAGTTCCCTTGTTTTGGCCTCAATCTCTCCCAAAAGAGTCTCAGGATTGGCACAGATTTTCTCTTCATCAGCACAGTAACTTTCTAAAAATTTTCTATATTCTGGGTCTGTGAAGATAAATTTTTGAACTATGTTAGTACTTTGCACGACAGAAATGGTATCTATTTTCCATTGTGACATCAAGAAGATATGCTTACCATCTTCAATGCTCCCAGCTTTGGCATCTTTCTTTTTCAACTTCTTTTTTGAAATCTTCTGAAATGGAGCAAATTCAACCACTGCAGGGTACTCCAAACCTTAAAAGAGATCAACACTTAATTTTTATTTTGGGAAGCATTCCTTGTATTCAAGTAAGGTTTTCCAAACCCTTCAAATCTGCATTGGGTAGCCTTACTTGAAAGCAAAGGTGAATGTTTCTAAATTCTCAACCTAAATTTCTAAGGACAAATCGCACATGGCTCTATTTTGGATTAAAAACAAAAGACTTTAATATTTGAATCACATACTTAAACATAATGATTATTACATTATTATTTTGACGTGCTAGCAAAAGCTGTCAAAATGAAGATGAGTACTGATGCACAATAAAACACTTTTACATTATCATTTATAATTCTCTTTCAATTCTTCAAAGATTGCCTTTGAATAGAAAAATTGACATAAAATCTGACACTGACAGACGAGTAAGTACTACTGGGAAGTGAATCTTAAACAATTGAGCAACTTCTGTAACATTTTGTTGCCAGAAATCTAAATAAAAATAAAAATAAAAAATAAAAAAAAGGCTAATATACAGTCAAAAGAAATGCTGCCTTCTTTCAGAATTCTAAAACTCACAATGTACAAGTGTGTGAAACTCTTCTTTCCACTTTCTATTTATGGTGAACTACGCAACTTCTAGTTTGTGTTTATTGGCTAGATTCTTTGGTTTTGTGTTTTGCCTTGCACCCTGCAATCTTCTTTGGATTGCTGTGAGGACAGCATGTAGCTTTTGAATTTTGCTTGGTTTCCTCTTAATGCAGGCCCAAGACCACACTTAGCTCAAGTGTACTGAAAATATGATTTAAATCTGCTAATATTTGTTAACCATTCTGAACCTAGTAATCCTCACTTTAGTTTTAGCCTCATAAATGAAATGCTGCCACAAGTTTCACTAGAGGGCACTTGCAATCTAAGCTTGGGCTTGGTATTTGCAAACAACCATGCCAAACTGACCAGCTGTCTCCAAACTCAGTTTTGTAGTGTACACAATATTCTGGCTTCAATCCAGCATAACATTGAGGAATGTGCCTAATTTAGACAACGTGGAGTCTTGGCAGAATCATAAAAATAGTTTATTTCTACTTCAGCTAAAACAACCCAGCTGTTTCAGAGAAGGCAAGATAAAACATGAACATTAAGGAACTCTGTTAGTAAGGAGTTGCCCTGTTTCCTACTTGACAGCAGAATTTGAAATCTGGAAATCATATACTGTGAGGAATGTGCTGTTCTCCACCTTTGGAAAAATCTATCCAATTCCAAGTTAGAAGCTTATCACAGAATTAACTGGTTTGGGTCGGGAGGGACCTCAAAGATCAGGTCGCCCAAAGCCCCATTCAACCTGGTCTTGAACACTTTGAGGGATGAAATATGAAATATCTGAGGTAGGAAAAGCTGCAGAGATACTTATTAGTTTGGCAGACAGCTTCTATGGAGAATAACTTTCCAGTAAGGCCAGACAGGCTATTTCAGAGGACCTCTGCAACACTCAGTATACAAAATAGACAATGTTCAATAAAACCCACAAATCAAAGTTCCTTTTATACAACCCATGCAGTTTTTAACAGAATCTGTGAGTGAGGCAAGGAACAGCTACAGTAACACACTATTTCTTGGCTATGGCTGCTTAATACTACTGTGGAACAGAATTTATGCACACCTACATTACAGAGATCTGTTGGACAAACTTGCAAACTGAACATTTCAAAGGCGGCAACTAATTTCATCACTCCTCTGCTTGCAACTCAAGATGTTCAGGCTCTTATCGACAAATCCAGGTAAGCACACACAGTTATGGAAATCAGACTGAAAGCATCTGAGGTTCTATCAAACATAAATGCTCTCTGAAAAGTCAAGGCATACATATCTCATATTGTGCAACCAAAATGGCAAGGACAATGTTTTTGGTTTTGCTTTCTCAAAAGGGGAATGCACAGCACTGCTTTATCTCACAGAAACACACCGAAGAATCCAGCCACTCATGCTTGCAATGTTTTGGGTCACTGTTGTGATGAATTGTGAAGCTCACATAAGATAATGAATAGGATCCTGACAATGCACTGCTTGAGTTACAAAAATGCAGATGAATTGTGCACACCACGCAGACAAGTAAGACTGCATGGACAAATACATTTTTCATTTCATTACCTTTTAATAGCCAGATTTTGTTTTAGTGTACTTTTATGTAATTAACTGTATATTGAGGAAAAAAAAAAAAAAGCTTAATTATAAAAAATGAAATGAATTAATGTTCTAAAATGGTATGTAGGTATGTATGTATTCACATGTAATATCTTACAAATAGTCCAACCTTTATTATCAATGAAGACATAGCCATCAAAGCGATCTCTAAAAAGAAGGATGTCCTCAGGATTTCTAAAGTTAATGTATGCTCTTGAGTAGAGATGAGGATAAAGGCTGCAACAAGAAACAACGTTATTTTCTGTTATTTACTATTCCATTCAGGCCTGGAAAAATGAAATAGATAGATCACGCTGCCATTCTCATTCTCTTTGGGAAATGGCTACCTTAATCATGCATACTTAAGTTTCTACATACATATAAAAATATCTATCAACTCAGTGACTGAATTCCTGATACAACTGTGAAATTTATTCTGAACAAATGTTTCTAGCTTGTTTCATCTCCTTAAATTGCAGAGCATACATTTCCATTTTGTAGGCTCAAAGCTTGAAGGCTATTTGTTCACGACTTGGGAGATGAATAACAGCAGTGCTTTTGGAGAACTTCTTGGGCATGTTAGGAAAGTCTTCCATTGCTGTCACAGTAGAAGGAAAATAAAAGCTTTCAGTGAACTGGAAGTTGCCAAGCTCTCACTGTATTTAAAGAGATTCCCACCTTAAAGAACGATTAAATAACTAAATGCTTGGCAAGCTAATATGCTGCATTCTATACAAATAAACTCAATTGGACATGTGCATGAATATATATGCAATGTCTACTTGTGGAGAAAAATTACTGAAAAAATCAAAAACCTTTTTTAGCAAAAGAAAGAACAGGTACTTACCCAATATAATTCTGCTCCTTCAAGAATTTGTTCTGGTTCCACTCTGAATATTAGTTTGCCAGATCAAAACCTCAGGGCTGGCACACCACCTCCACCAATGGAACTATGGTAATGTAATGCATTACCACTCATCAGCTAAGTGTCAGGTGCACACTTAACTCTCTCTCCCACACAGTTATGATGTAAAAAGGTTTGGCTTAATCTGCTTTTAGTGATGTCTTCATGTTAATATATTTTTTTAATATACTTGAACGTATTTGATTTGAACGTGAGCCATAAATTTAATATATCTGTGTTGATAGAACTGCTGCCATGCAAGAGCAGTCTTAAGATAAACTCACCAGCAGCAGCAGCAGAAGACAACTAGCACACATAGTTGTAACCAGATTTAAAATCAAGCTATTTCAGAATGAGATCTTCACATCCAGTGAGAAAGAGCAAAGATAGAGGTCACGTATGTGGCATCTCAAAGACTAACAGTTACTACAAGACAAGTAATCATTTTCTCTTTTTCAGATGTGTGTCCATGTGAATTCCACTCTGCATTTTGGAAGGTGACCAAAGAGCAGTGCTGCTGATATCTAACCATTTTGTAAAATGCCCCAACTTGTGCTTGACATCATAGTCAGGAGAAGCACTTAACAAAGTGCTACTGGGCTTTTCTCACTTAGATGTTTTGCAAGGTGCCCCTAAAGCATGCAGAATATGTGCCTTCTAATTCTGTGGAATTGTTATTTCATAGATATTCACTATTTTGACATTCTAGGAAGGGAATAGCATTGAATGAACTGCAAGCAGGTATAACAGAAGCACAGGATGGCTCATGCTGGCAGGACCCTCTGGGTCTCTCTGACCCAATCGCTGCTCCAGCAGGGCCACTCAGAGCAGGGTGCCCGGGACCATGGGGCTCCAGAAGATCTCCAAGGAGGGAGGCAACCACAGAAATGCTTGATTGGGCACAGTTAGTGCTATGCTGTTGACACAAAGCAGTGATGAAAGATGCTAATAAAGCATGCTTCCTTATCCACCACAGCTGATGCAGATGGTACAGTCTGCTTGCAGGAAACATCTAGACAGCTCAACCAAATGAGCGTGGGTACATATGGCTGTGCTTTGCCATGGAGTTCTTCCACACACCCTGCAGAGTGCTATGTTATCAGATTTGCAAACCTCCGGTCTGCACATGAACCACAAGGCATCTCCAGGAGCGTGTGGAGTCATTAGCAACACGCAGTGCAGCTGAAACAAGGCAGTTTCCATCTCAGTGTTTTCAAAGCAAGAAAAAAAAAAGGATGAAGTTTAACAGCTTTCATGATGTTTAACGGTATATACTGTTAAAAAATAACATTAGAAAACTCTTTAGAAAACAGTAAGAGTTACAAGTCTCTGCAAAGAAGGAAAGTTTACTGTGACACTTCATAGTTGTGCTGGAAGAAGTGCCTCTGTGCTGCATAACTGCTGCATAAGCAAAGAAGTCTGGTAAGTGGTGGCTTCCAGGAAGGAACAAACCTCTGTCACTTCAACAGCACTATTCTTATCTTACATTCCGAATGTTCTTCAGTGTAAAAATGAAGTGAGACCTGATACTGGAGATTGATATGGTTATACACTTAGAAGTACTGAAGATTCACCAAACAAAAACAACCTTGAGGGAGCAGCCTAATCACAGAATGCTTTGAGGTGGAAGGGACCTTTAAGATCACCTGGTTCCAACCCCCTGCTATAGGCAGGGACACTACTCTCTAGACCAGGTTGCTCAAAGCTCCACCCAGCCTGGCCTTGAATGCTTCCAGGGAGGGGCATCCACAACCTCACTGGACAACCTGTTTCAGTGTCTCACCACCCTCACTGTAAAGAACTCCTTCCTAATATCTAGTCTAAATCTACCCTCTTCCAATTTAAAGCCATTTCCCCTTGTCCTGTCACTACTTGTCCTTACAAAATGTCCCTCCCCAGCTTTCCTGTAGGCCACTTCAGGTACTGGAAGGCTGCTATAAGGCTCCCCCTGGAGCTCTCTCTTCTCTAGGGTGAAGGACCCCAGCTGTCCCAGACTGTTCTTGTATGGAAGGTGCTCCAGTCCTCTGCTATCATTGCTATCTAAGATTGAGAAGTCCTGAGTTTAAGTTCCTAATTTAACAACTATTGCAGTGTTTTATCAATCTTCAGTTTCGACAAAACTAACTGAAAAAAGCCACTTCTCTGGCTCGGTGCACAGAACTGCTTGGCCATGGATTTTCTTCTTCTGCAGTAACTTATTACTCACAGTTGGACACATAAGACTCATGAAAAAGAAACGAAAATACAATTTTCTTCATTATTTCCTTCAGTTTGCACACCAACACCATCTATTTCCCATCTGATTTGGAAACATAATCTTTTCCAACATAGGATTTTTCTAATGTTTTTTGCTTAGACTTTGATATCAAAGTATCTTTCAAACAGAGAAACATGTATTAGTAAGAGAAAAATGTGCGAGCGGAACATGTAAATGTTCTCTGGACACAATCCCTAGAAAGCAGGGATTTAGACTTTGTCTTCAAAAAAAACTTTGTCTTCTCCACCATCATTGAAATACGTGTTAAGTCTTCAAGAACTTCACATCAGCAGAAACATACAAAAATATTAAAGCATGCTTGTCCACAGTATGATATCAGTAGGCACAGTAGCACAATCAAATTGGATTCTCTCTCCATTACTGTTGCTGCATATCAGGGTAGAAGGTCATAGAAACATAGCTGTGACAACACTTAGAAATTACACGTTCCTCCTCTGATGCAGCCACTTCTACAGATAAAGAGCCGGTCCTCAAATGCAAGTGGGATGTCAGTGCTTAACGTATAAAAGCCTGATCTGTGTTTTTCAGACCCCTTCAAGCTTTTTATCCAACAACAGCAGTGCATGTGAAAAAAGAATGCATGAAATTCAATTTCCAAATGGGAAGCTGACTAAAGCTAGCAGATCGGAAATGCCTAATAGTGGCCTGGGTTTCAGGGACCTTCCAACTGCAGACTGCAGCTGCCCGCTCCAGATTCTTCTGCCATTCATCCATCCTCTAAGAACTCAGCAGTGTTGCTGAGCAGCAGAAAGCACATACTTCTCACAACTGGGAGGGCTCTGTGGCTGCCACCCTCTCACAGGAAGGTACAGTCCTGCTCTCTGAAGACACTGGAGAAAACACAGCTTTTGCTCTGCAGGGCTTTGCCTTTCATGCAAGTTCCCCAAACACTGCTCTACAAAAGGGACCCTGGGCCCTGTATGTTTCCTCCTTTTTTTCAATTATTTGCCAGCACAGATACCACCTGGGATTTGAAGTTCAGTTTTGAGATTGCATGGCTAGTTTTACCATCACACAGCTGGTTCTCTTTACCCATGTTCACTTTCTATAATGCTGCTTTCCATCCATATCATGTTTTGGACAGATGCACTGCAGATGACGCTGGCATCTCTGTGATATTAATTACAGGAATTTCTATGGAAACAACCCAGATGAGTCTGACTATTCACGTTTCTCCACTTCAACATACAGTTTCTTTGCTTTCTGCTGCACACTGCAGGATATTCAATCTTTCAGGTAATATGCATTTTCATAATACTAAGTACAACATTCCTTTAAACTTTTACAACAATTTCAACAACAAAAATGTTCTAAAAGCTATCTTTTTCTACAAAGTATCTTTTAGCACCACTTCGTAAAAAGAGACAGCAAGGTTGTTATCTATAATATAAACAGTAACATAAAGACAGCCATCACATTCTAGTTAAAATACTTACCAACTTATCATGTGTGGTGCATGTGCATATATACATACGCACGTATTAACATGCATATATTAAATACATATATAAAATCAACATATACATTTTGGAGTGCTCTGTAAACTCCTCCATCCACTCATGCATTAAAACATAATTTCTGATCAAACTGATAACTCTTTGTCTATACACCAAACTAAAATCCACTGGCCTTCATCGTTGTCTCTCACCTGTTGCCATTCATACAGTGGATGGTACTGGCGTAATTCTTAATAAATTGAGCTTTCCCTTTTTACAGATATAAAATAAGCACTATTTGCCTGGCAGCGGAGAATCAGCAACACTGCAACTGTGGTGACCAACCAACAACCACTCCCTCCTTTATCATACTACAGGTGATTCCCTTAAAAGGTGTTGTCCTTCAGATCCTGCGTGCATGCTGCCATCCTACAGTAGGAATGCTGTAATCCTCAGTAAAACATTGGGAAGCACCTATGATGGCAGAAGTGCTGTTTGCAAGATTCTGTCTTTGATACAAGGCACAGCATCAATTACTTGACTGGCTTTCACAGAAGCAAAGCTCCTGTTCTCATCTCTTTACTCTTACAGTGTTTTAGTGAGTTCTGCCGTCAGTACCAGGCCTGAGGGATGACCCAAGTCCTGCAGGACCAGAGCTCAACCACTGCACTAGAGTTTTAGAAGGCCCACAAATGGTTACATGCAGCCTTAAAAGAATATCTAGAAGATGTAATTATTTTTTTGGCACCTGAGAACAAGACAGACCATCAAGTAGGCAGGCTCTTCATTGTCAGCTATAGGTAACGTGCTTATCAAACACTCCTGAAGGCCACAGAATCAGTCACAAACACACTGTTTTGCTTGTATTTTGATACCAATGTACAAGAGAGAAAGCTGAACTTAATGCAGTGAATCAAATGCATCAGAAAAAAATGAATGAATTACAACACAACAGTCAAACTTTGTGAAATGATTTTACTGAAATGGATGTAACAGTGTTACACAATAATGACATTTGAGTTATATGAAATTGTTAAAAGTTGTACAGTTTGCATATAATAACAGGACATTATAAAATTACAAGTAACCTTTATAACAAGAACAGTAAAACTGGACTTGATATATATATGCATATCTTACAAAAACACACAAGTAGGACTGCAAATGTTTGTTCTGTACTCTGGGGTGAGATGACCTTGCTAAGAAAAAAGTAGAAGTCCACTCTGAGCACAACTGGTAGAAGATGCTTAGAGGAAATGTATAAATAAGAGGAATCTAGAAAGTGACACTTCACCTACTGCATCATTTCAGCCATTTGCAGCCCAGGGACTTTGTAATTCAGAACTCACACCCTTGTGTTTCATAGGTCTTCATGGATAAATACTTGTCTAGTTAAGTATTTGGCTTCTGAACCATTTTGAACCTCCATTTCTGACACTGTTCTCAAACAAGAGGTTGCACAGCTTAAGAGTGAAAAAGTATTCCACAGCTGGAGAAAGCTGAATGAACTCTTACAACCTTCCTTTCTCTGGAATCCCCAGATGGGGTTAAAACGAGATCTAACAGCATTTAAGGGCAAATTCGTCTGCTTCTGAATCATAACCTGTCCATTTGTATGCCTCACTCTCCTTCCAAAAAGCGTCCTCCTCCCTGAGTAGCTTCTCCAAACCATTCTTTCATTGGGTAGCATTCAATTTCTATGAATTCACTGAATTTCCTGCATTGGTTACTACTTTGTGCCTGGTACAAGATCTAGAAAGAGAGCTAATCACTGGAAAACAAAAGGACCATGTGTAGAAAACATGACCTGGGATGGGCAATATGATGCTGGGCCAGTAAAACAACAAATAATCATAGAAAGCCAACTGTTGCCCATTGCTTATCTTTCCAAAGACTGGTGATTACCTAGATTCTTATGCCAACAACTGCTTTGGAAAGTTAAAATTTTCATTTTTGAATTGGTTCCTGGAGTTTGTGTGGTTAGGATGAAGATACTCTTTGGAGAAAGCAAGCACCAAACTGCCACAAAGTTTCACTAAACAGATATTGGTTCCTTTCTCTTTGTGGAATCGACTCTGAGGGAACAAGTATGTATGTACATATATATATATATGCCTGTGGAGGATGATTCACTGCACACCAAGACAGACTAAGCTGGGCAAGATGAATCACATCCTTTAGTTATTCTGAGCACAAGGAGATGTAGCACATAGGATGCTTTATTTACTTTTATGGTTAAGTTCATCCAGAAATTGTTCTGTTCAAAAGGGAATGGCATTTTGCCACTGTGATACTGAGTATGTTAACAAAGTATAGCAGAAATTCTACCTCATTGTCAGCCAACTACTGTCTCTTTTTTTTTTTTTTAGTATTGAATGAGACAAAAATGAATAAAAGTTGATTACTTGAAAAAAAAAAAAGTATGAAATAAAGACAAGAATACATAAGCAAATTAAGAAATTAAGGTTGAATGGCACTCATGAAAAATTTGATGATATTTGCCCTCAGTTGCCTTTATCATAAACAACAATAAACAGCCTTTTAATTTTTACTAATTAAAGTTAAAAGCAGGATGATGGCTTCAAACAAAACTGTGCTCTATTTGCACACAAAAAGATGTCCTTTAAAACTGCTGAGTACATAAAAAAGAGGCAGGAATGTATCATCTCTGCAAAGACATACATCCAAACATTTCACTTAAGTTACAAAACAGGCTCCGTGGACAAAATAAATAATTTAGCGTCCAAACTGCCTTAATTAGGCTTTAAGCACCTGAAAACCTACACAGACAGCTCATCCTCACCTGGGATCAGCAGTGCAAAACTCAAAATAATCATGGGCAGGGAGGGGGTGTAGCTGCTCCTCCAGCTGCTCCTTGGTTAGACAAGGAGGGAGCCGTCGAATAACCACCTGCATAGAGAAAAGAGAGAGTTATCTTCCATCCGAATCGATCGCGTCAGTCCTCTCCTAAAAGCTCTTCCTTAACCTGGGAGCTGCGGCTGCAGCCTTAGCCTCGGTGTCCCTTCGAGGACCGGCGCTGGGCGGTACCCGGCAGCCCAGCACACCGCACACAGGACATCAGCGGCGCCGGCTTCCCGATGCGGCAGCGGGGAAGGCAGCGCTCCCCACACGGTGCCGCGGTGCCTCAGCGCCCGCAGCCGCACCCCGCCACGAGCGCGGCGGTTACGCGCCCCCACCCCGCGCCTCGCCACCCCCAGCCCCGCACCCCTCACTTTGCTCAGCGCCGTTTTTTTCTCATCTCGCTGTTTAACCGGCGCCTGGGGAAGCGGTGGCGCCGGGGACGGCGGCGGGTTGGGCGCGGTGTCCGGCTCCCGGCGCGGAGACTCCCGCCTTAGGGGAACCTCCATGGGTCGCTTCTCGCGACCGCAGCCGCCGCCCCTCGCCGGTCCCAGCCCAGGCTCCCGCTCCGACCGCATGGAACCGCCGCCCGCAGCGAGGCGGAAACCTCGCGAGAACTGCCCTGCTGCTGGGCGGAATCTCGCGAGACTTGACTGAGGGGCGAGGGGAGTTCCTCCGCCTCCAGTGTAGCAGCGGCCGGGCTGTGGCGAGGGTCTTCATCCCTAGCAGTGGCTGTCGCCGTCCTCGTGCATTCCCATCCTTGTTCTCATCCCCGTCCTCTCTGCTGGATGCTCTGAGGAGAGATGCTTTCAGGAATCCCGCAGAGCCTCCATTGTGTGCATGGGAAGGGCAATTGAAGACCCATCCTATCGCGGTCCACGAGCCCACAGTTGCCTTGCAGATAGCTGACACTTGGCTCTGCCCTCACTGCCAGTCTCAGCCGTGGCTCCCGTGGCAGGATGGGAGCAGTAGTCATAGAATCGCAGAACGGTTTGGGATCGAAGGAGCCTCAAAGCCCAGCCTGTGTGTGCGGCCCCCCACCAGCTCAGGCTGCCCAGAGCCCCACCCAACCTGGCCTTAACCACCTCCAGGGATGAGGCACCACAGTTTCTCTGGGCAGCTGTGCCAGTCCCTCACCGGCCTCTCACTGAGAAATGTACCCCTGACATCTAATCTGAATCTCTCTCTCAGTTTCAAACTATTCCCCTTTGGCCTGGAGGGCTAGGGCTGAAAGCTAGACAGGTGCTGGGGATGCCACACCGTGAGGAAAGGGACAGTTGTTTCTTGCATCAGCTTGCAGGTCCCGTGTCCACGAGTTTTCAAATCATGAAAACCTTGAAGACAACAGCAAAGTCCCCCCACAATGGGTTAAGATTGCGAGAGAGTAGGTTATGTGTAAGACATTGCTTTAGCAGACATGCTAATCATGGGCTGGAGCAGGACAGGTGCTGGGAGGAACAGCAAGAGATGCAGGTGTGGAAAGCGAAAGTGTTGTCTCTGCACTGAACATTGAAAAAAAGGCAATTGATCCAAAGAATTAAGCTGTAACATATCCTTAGAAATAGCCTATGTGGAAAGTAAGAATACTGTATACATATTAGTAACATATTTTAGAAACGTAGTTACTGAATTACCTAATAAATTCTTTCTCACAAAGCTACAATAGATTTTAAATGTTCTAAATGATGTGGGTATAGTATTCTGAAGTAGGAAACAAATTGTAAGGTTGTTCATTAGACAAGCAGAAGTGAAATACATTTAACAAACTTTCAAGGAGTCAGGGCCTTTACACAAAGCAGAACTGTCCCACTGGGAATGTTAGGATCCCATAGGCAGGCTCCAAGATACTCCCCTCTATCCTCCTTCTGAGCTCATCTCTATGCAAGGACAGATGAATGACCAGAACAATGACCCAGTGTAAAAGGGGCAGAAACGTTAGGGGGGTAATTAAACAATTAAGAGGCTATGTTTATGTTGTAAAACAGACATTTGAAAGTTATGACCAAATGTTTGTTAAGAAAGCAATTGTTAGAAGGCAATTAATCAATTAAGATATTTGTGTTTGGGCGGCAAAGATTTGTGTTTACTTGGTATTTGTATGATTACTGAGGCGTTGCGAAAGAGCCTGAACCTGCAGTATTCAGCCAATGAGGAACCAGGGGAGAAAGAGAGAAACGTCGGGCAGTAGGGGATAAAAGATGTAACACAGTTTTCTCTGCGCTCTCCTGCTTGCAGGAGGCCCGCTATTGCAATTGTGAATAAAATTTGCTTTATCAGAGAAACCGTCCTAGAAAATTATTTGGATATTTCCAACACAGGTGCAAAGATGAAGATTTGGACAGAACATGAGCAGATAGTGAACTGAAATAAGGAAAGAAGCTTTTCCTGAAGTCCTCTCTGAGGCATGCACAACATTAAGAAGCACTAACCTAATTGTATCTGCCTGAAGGGCTGGAAGCCAAACCAAGCTTCATCAAGAATTCCTCTGATGTTGTCTAGGGAAAATCATTCACAGTTTAAGACATTTTGAAAATGTTTCCTTCTAGGTAACTTTTAGTGGCAATAAAGAAGGGCTAGCAACAACCAGCCAAAAAACTTCAGCAGATAGCTGCAGAATTGAAGTGTCATGCCATGTTGCCTTTAGAACAAGAGAGTTTCCTGTACCCTCCCTTTTCTCTCCACTCAGCTCCACAGATGACTTTTACACAGCAGTTCACAAATTTTCAAGTGAGAAATCAGACAGAGAAAAGGTTTTTAAATGCTAGGCCAGTTCCTGTACCTGATTCACACCCTAAGCACACAAATTTGTATTACAACAGCTGTGGAAGTGGCAAAGGGGCAAGCCAATTGCTCTCAGCACTGCAGGAATACAACTAAGCAGGACTGCCATCAGAGCCAACACACCATCAGATCAGAACTGATATCAAATACTATCAATTTTTAAGACTACTTAGTCAATGAAAACAGTAGCAACATAGGAGAAAAGAAGAAAATCCACAGATGTCCATGGCTGACATTAGCAAAAGGCCAGATTTGCTAGAGTATTTAGCCAACATGTACGTAGAAACTTCTTCCTGGGTGTATGACTAGAATCTTAAATTTACCTACTGTAGATTAAAAATAAACAAATGTGTTATCTGTCGTAGCTCATAAGACTACTAAAGAAAGAAGATAGACTGCCAAAAAACAAGTAAAAAGGAAGATTTCAATATATATGTATATAGTTGGGTTCATCCCTTGTCTCTTCTTATTTATGAAAAGCACCAATAAAAAGTATAGGAAATATTTAATGAGTTGCACTAGTATGCCACTTTTTTTTTTTTTTCAACCATATCCCAATAAAGCAGATGAAAATTGTACAAAGAAAATCACACATATTGTGCTAAAGATAGAATTGAATATGATTGTTTAAATGCTAACTACAAATGCAGTGAAATCGAGTGTAAAAATCATATTTTAGACCAGTTATTCTATTTTGCAAAAAGGTAAATTAGCCTTTTTTTTTTTTTTTTTTTTTTTTACTTAATGAAAAATCCTTACGTACAGAAAAAGAAAAAAAGTTAGTTTTTGAGCACTGAAATACTTATTACTGGAGCCTGGACTACTAAACCTCAGAGAATCTTTTCTTAACATTAAATGTCAAAGTCCAGCAAGAAGTCACAGAAGAAAAAATTATGACAGCTCGTAGCATTATGTTTTTAATTTTAAGCCCATTGTAGTGACATAGGTGAAACAGGCACAACGGGAAAGGAGCTATATATACAAAATACGTTCAACATTCATACTAAGAAGGCAGACGGACCCAATTCTGTTCAGTGGATTGACAAATCATTGCTTCTCTACAGAAACATATGCTTTAATTTGTTATTTTTCGGAGAGCCAATGACATTTAAAAATACCACTCTAGAGACTTGTAAAAATTGTGTATTATTCAGTTAATCCTTTGCCTTGGTAGAACAACTGTGTGTAAAGAGAACAACTGCATTTTCTACAGAAGTACACTGTGGCTTACAACTTTATTATTACACTACTGAAAAATAGTTCAGGTATCATTAATTGCAGGACACACCAATTTACCTTGGTATTTTTATATTTTTGCCATTCATGTTTGTTGTCCCATCAGCTTACCAGAAACAGTTCTCACATGACCGCTCAGTAGCACAATATAGAATAACAACAAAGAAGTCAACAATAATTAGGAGAAGGCATAACAAAGTAACATGCTTTGCCATCAATTTAATGCATGTCCAATTAGAGTCAAGTGATGGGAATCCACTGAAACCACTCTGTGAAGAAACACATATTTATGAAGTAGTAAGTGGTAAACCTCACGGGTTTTTTGGTCTATTTACTAAGAAAGCATTCCTCAAAGACAGGATGAAAAAATCAAAAGCTACAATAATACTGTGTTAGACCTTGGCTAATCCATTCGGCAATACTGTAAACTGTTCCATGTTAGGTATTATTTTTAAACCTTCACAGTCTTACTGATGGCAGACACAAGGATCAGTAAACGGTTTTAAAAACATAATGTGAATTTATTATTATTATTTTTTTTTACTTTATCACATATGATCAACTTTGTAGAAATAATAAAATTGGAAATAATCCCTCATGTATGTTTTAATCATCCTTAAGGCAAGCATTATTTCTCAGGTGTTAAATACAGCATAGTAGTATGAATTCATATAAAAATAGCAAATTCCTGAAAGTATAACACCATAACAAAAACACTAAAACAAGTACTTAGACAAAATGTGCCCACTACCAGAATTTATGGTCATGTACTATGGTCTGACATTGACGTTTCTAACATCATATCACTTTCATTCATTTCTATCTCAAATGTTTCTTCCAACGGACGGCTGGTATCTGTATTTGTCCTTTGATGTGATGTTTCTAATGTTACTATACCACTCTCATCCAGAGTCTGTCTTTCTATGTCAAATTCTCTGAAATCCCAGGCAGGTGAAATAATGTTCTTTAAGGTCTTCATCGTGTGTACATCGAAGTCATAACATCTTAGTTTGTCTTTGATCTCTGTTCCTAGGAAAACAAACAAACCATTAGTTTATCCCTAGCGAACATTCCCCAAAACGTATCACAAAAAAAAATCCAGAAATGACTATGGTTCTCTATGTATTCAGAACAAAGAGTTGTCAATACTTAATAAGCAAAGTTTAAGTGTTGGCCTGACAAAAATCCTACACACACACAAACACACACACACAGATTCAAAGTCTGTTAAGAGAAGTAGCTGCCTTCCCAGCTTTCTATGAGGGTTTCTTCATTGTTTCAAGTTGATGCAACCCATGATGCATGTAAGCTACTTAACACAGCTGCGTGGTTTTTCCAGATGTATTAACTGACAATACAGAGAAGAAACATCTGCTTCAATTGTGTGAAAAATTTGCTGGAAAAGGATGACAGTAGACAGTCTTTTTTTGATGCAAGACTTCTCTGCAAGGATTCAATGACTTACCAATGTAAGCTTCGGAATCACCAATATACATTTCTATGCAATGTCCGAGCATTGTGACTGAAAATGTGTCATCCCTCCTAAGTCCAAGGGCCTATTAAAAAATAAAAAAATATTAAAAAATAAAAACATTAGAAGTCTTTAGCTGCATAGAAAACCATTTGCATCTTAAATCTGTCAACCAACAAACTCAGAATAGCTATGTGATCAAAGTAGTCCTTACTGTAAAAGCAAAATACTGTGCAACCAAAATATTTTCATATGAACTGACTTAAGAAAGCAAACCACAAAAATACAACTAGAAATGGAAATGTATCCAGACAGAGAATCACTCATAAGCCATGACGTAAGATATACTACTAAAACAGTTCTAAAAGTTGTGAGGAACTTAATTTTGCATAGCTAAGCTACAATTGATAATGAAATACACTGAGACATAAGTAATTACAACTAAATTTAAATGATACAAGCTTCTAAGTACATCTAACTGCAGCTAAATTCTCAACCCTATCAACCTGAAAGCTGAAAAATTTAGCGCTCATTAAAATTCACCATTACACAATGAAAACATGAAATCATCAAAAACTGTCCTGGAAATAATAAAATACAATCATAGAAACACAGAATTGCTCAGGTTGGAAAAGACCTTAAAGATCACTGAGTCCAACCACAACCTAACCATACTACCCTAACTCAAACAGGCCTCTGCTAAATCATGTCCCTGAGCACCACATCCAAATGGTCTTTAAACGCATCCAGATAAATCCATGACAACAGAAAGCGGCCTATTTTTAAAAATCTACACTTACTGTAGAATTTCTTTGAAGCATAAGTTGGGATTACTTTAAACCATTTCAGCTGTAGAAGTTGTTAACACACACAATGTATAGGATAATTCAGTTGGTTTACAAGAAGGATCCACCAATAGAGTTTAAAAAAAATAATTAAACTTAACTCATAGGAAACTAGGGAAGACTTCTTAAAAAATAAAATAAAATAAACAATAATTTGGAGGTTGGATAAAACATTCAATCTGTTCCAAAATCAAAACTGAATGAAACGGTAAATACAGACTCAGTGACCAGCACTTCAAGCATACATACCGTATGAAAATAGTCAATTGCACTTTCAAAATTGCCCATTAGACTATGTATGTAGCCAATGGCAGAGTAAGTAGAAGCATTCTGAGGAATTAGTACTAGAGCCTGGCGATGGTATTCCAGTGCTTCTTCATACTTCCTGATGGGGTTAAATACAGAGTATCTATTAGCAAGTTTGAGAGTGAGAGTGGAAGATGTTCTTACAGTATTCTATCGATAATTTCCTTACCTCTGTGACAGACAATCCTGTCACGAACTTTGAAGTTTTTGATTCGTTTTCTTAACATAAAAAGCACACAAGAGTCACAGATATTGATAATTTTCTTCCTCAGCATAATTGAGAAATCATTGTTCCCCTTATGTAGCGCAATAGCTGTCTGCTAGGTCCCATTTGGAGAAAATTCTAGCAATTAGATATGGTAAATTTCTTTAGATATTTAATGCTGCTCACTGCAAAATTATGTTTCTTTCTGTAGCTCTCATTTTCCTCCCCAGGGGAGTAAAGGAGCAATGAGACTGAATCACTCATTGTTCAAAATGAGAAAAGCTCCCCAAGCAGAAATTTCATAACCCTTTAGTGCTGCATACATCGGTACTTTTGTTACTTCCACTTTGACACTGTTTTCATTAGAACAGCAAGATTTACACATAGTCACAATTTCTTTCAAATGAGCCACACTTTCTTTGAAAATTAGCTCTTGCATAGACTGCTTATTGCATTTGTTATTTTACAAAGCAAGGATTAAGTGTATGTTACTGATGCTACTCTGGAAAATTCAAGTGTCACATTTAGCACCCTATGGTACCAAGCTGTCAAAAATAAAAACAGCAATTGTCCATTCAAAAGAAATTTTAATGTCTCAAGCTGTAGTGAAATTAAGCAAACATCAATACATAATGTTGTTTAAGGCATTAATCAAGACATAAAAATTTGCAGCTGCTTCCCTGTTGCACAAAACTTTCACATAGTTTCAAATGTTACTTCCAGTCACATTATTCACCTGTCTGACTACCTACCACTGTATTTTAATGCGCTGTTTTCAACTATACAGACCAGTAAGATTTTCAGATACGGACATTCTACCTTGTCAAAGTGTATGTGCAGCTGCCTAAACTCTCATTTTCCTGAAAGACAGTTTACAAGGATGCAAAAATATATTGGATTGTCTTTCTGAACCTAAACAAATAGTAAAATGCAAGTTGCCCTGAATATGATGTAATCAGTTACTAAATTATTGCAAGAAATTAAAAAAGACAAAAGGAATTATAATTTAGTTATTTGAAAAAACCCTTTTTTCTTTGATTTTGGGAGAGCAGGTAGCTGTTATACATCAGTATTTCCCAACAAAAATGAAGAGTAATTGCGGTTCTAACACAAAACCTTTACTATCAAAGTCAAAACAGACATACAGCTTATATCTAACTGGAATCTCTTCCATTGGCATCTTAGTAACACAAACTACAGTTAAAACCACAACATTAAAAATAATATATGGTACTGGTTAAACATAAGACTGGTTAAAATTAAAGTAGAGAGAACATTTATCAATGTTAAAACCACTAAAGCTTTCATATGTACTTTGCACTTCCTTTTTCTCTTCTCAGAATGCAGACATGAAATGAAATATGAACCAGTTCTGTCCTTAAAAGCCATAGAATAACATTTTATTGTTAAGGTCACTGAACACTGAGCGAAAGTAATAAAATAGAAGCTTAAGCGCTGATCCAAGCAATGAATAGCATAAAAGATGATTTTGTGCTGAATTAATTCACTGGACATAGTCAAGCATGTCAGGATTGCGGCAGTAGCTCATTTGCTTTCAGACCCATCTGAAGAGCTAAAAGCCTATAATCAACTTTCTATTTAAGAACCAATAGTTAAGGAAAGGCTTTCACATTAAGAATTTCAACTTGCATGTGGAAGACTGTACATAAGGAGCAATCTGTGTACTTATTGTAGAAACAGATCTAGGGAATCTTGCTTTTCTTAGAAGGTGCTTCTACATACAATCCTGATGATAACAAGGAGGCCCAGAAAAACACATTTTCTGTAGTATTACAGATAGTTGAAGCTCCTGTGCTATTTACTTACTTCAGTTTTCGGCAGACGTGTCCCAAGTTGTTCAGTAAAGGCTCCCACTTATCAACTGTTATCTGCAAAATAATCAACAATTCATTAGCTGCAGCTTGCTAGATTGCAACTAAATCTTGTAGGACTACTTAAATAACACACAAAAAACCCACACCCCATAACAAACGAGACAATTCAATCACAACCAAGAAGAACTTCACAAAAATATTCCATTGTTTCAATACATGTATTTAAAGCCAGAATAAACCTGTTTTCAACTACTGACTCCCCAAACCCAAATAAATTTCGTTCAAGCTTTAGTATCACTGACACTTCAATACAAACTAAACAAAATTTGGTTTTCTACTTAACAAGAAGTCATACTTCAAGGTCTCATAGCCTAGCAGAATTAAGACTCACAGATTAGATATTCATATTAAAAAAAATCGTAAATGCTGAAGGTCTTTCTACTCTCTTCTCTACAGTCTAACTTCATCTGCTCTAAATAAATGAGCTCATTTATAAAGCACGCAGAAAACTATCCAACTCAACAAAATCCTTAGAACAGTTTTCACTGAAATTGAAGTTATTTATTTGACTTGATCACATTAAGAATTTTTGATTTAATACAACAGAATAGTATCTCTAGTTCTTTTAGGCGTCTCCTACTCTAATTCTAAAATTCCATGTGTGTGCTTATGTACATGTAACACTTAGTACTTCTATAAAGAAGAAAAAATGTCACACAAAAGAATTGAGGCTTCTGCATAAATTTAAGCCACATCCACAAAGTCTGTGGCTTTTGCATGTACAACAGTACAACCATAACTAAAATAAAACAACAATATTTACATATTAGAGAGTTTATAAGTTAGTATCTGTCCAGTTTGTTTTAATAAATCTGTGTCTTGCCCACATAGAATTGTAGCTTTTCAGTGCTTTCTACTTTGTCAGAGGTTCACTGTTCTCCAGAAGCAAGGTCATTATCTTGGTAGGAGATACATTGCTAACATTACTGCAGCATGAGGTAGCGTCCTCATTAAATAAATTTCAGCTAAAAATCATTAGAAAACTATCTGTAAGTTCACAGCTCAGCTAACTTTCAGGAAGTTAGTTAGGCATCCCTGGATCCACTCCCACACAGTCTCCATCTGGTAGAAAGAAAAAAAAAATCCACTCCTACAGACTTCCAAAGAAAAGTGGAAGTGATTCAAGAACGCAGTTCCACATGGTAGAAGATTTCTTCCACACGTGCACCCAGTTCCACCTTCAGGCCAAAAACCATTCATCTCCTAATATCTAAGACTAAGAATGCAATCTGGGTTCCACACTTCCCAACCAACACTTACAGTTTTGTTCTGCCTTTGCTATCATTTGTTTTTAATTTCAAATAAAAACATACTTTTGGCCATTTCCAGTAGCACTGAAAATAATGCATGATGACTCTCATCTAAAAACTGAACACATAATTATAACGAGATGGTCGAGACTTTGAAGTCAATTTTATATTGTGTTGCTTTTGCCTTAATTAAAAAAAGCTTCCTGTAGTTTTATGGATTTATGATCATGTGTATTACTAGGAAAAATACCTCATTTCCAATCGCTTTGATTTTTTCCAGTGCATCGAGAAACCACTTTTCTGCAGTTTTCCAGCTAAATAATAGGAGTGGGGAGGAAAGAAAAGTGAATTAACAGAGTTCTAGTTACCAGCATGAGAAAACAGTATTACAATCAACAGTTCTTTGATCGTATTTGGTTGTATGAATGCAACTATCATTAAAAATGAAGTAATTTTGCCAATTGATCTTAATGGCTGACAAGAGAAAATTTAAAAAAAAAAACCAACAAAACAAACAAACAAAAAAAACAGGAGCAAACCAAGGATGTTCAATGAACGACTTCTATCTGTTATATTTTTTTTCAAAATATATTTGAAGTCTCCTGACTTGACAAAATGCTTTGCTGCACGTATACACTTGTGTGAGCAAACAGACAATTCTTCCGGGTGTGCAGCTACCCAATGACAAGCACACATCAAGTAATCATCTCTCTCTGCATGTTTCTCAAGCTCAAAGTTCTTCCCTCATTCTATCTTCAACAAGGAAGAACAATTTAGAAAGCAAGCCTTTACATTACCTAATGTAATGAGAACCAGGTGATACTTTACATTGTGCTGTTGAATACAAAGTAAGTACTTTAATAGATATATTAGCACATCACATTTCAGAATAATCCTTCCTTTAAATTGTACTTCATCTCATTTTGTAAGCTTACTCTCCATTTTGAAATGCAACCACTCCAACTTCGTGCATAACAAAAGGATCTTCAGGTGCAATGCTTAAAGCCTGGCTGAAAAACCTTTCAGCTAGCTTCGAGTTGTTGGTCAAACCATATTCCAGTCCAATATAGAGCATTGGCAAATGACACCTAGAAAGAAAAATTCATAAGATACAGGTCAATTTTCTCTACTGCTTATGGATTAGCTTCAACATCTCTGAATGTGGCATTTGTGACATACCCTTTCATGAGCTGTGCAGCTGTGAAGTATGCAGCCATTGCTTGGTCATGTTCACTCTCAACAGCAAATGAATGTCCATATGCTATCCAAGCAGGTCCATAGGTCCTCTCAAGTGTAGTAGCTTTGCTAAAAACAAGAGCAGATTACAAGCAAACATTTGAAATTGAATTTCATCCGCTTCAGACAGTACTTACGTAGCAACGTCATGTGACATTAGGTATCTATTAGGATAATATTTCATGACTGGATGTAAATAAAGATCATTTTAAATGTTTGAACTGCTCAACTTACTAGTATTATACATTTTCAAGAATTCCCTGTATTATTTCTACTGCTGTTCATGGACACCAGAAATTACTTGACACTACTGAAAAGAAACAATTATATTAGGCAAACCAGGTAAAATATAGGAAAAGTCAGTAGTGACACAATGTATTAAATATATATAAATTAACAATTAATGACAGATCTTTTTTTAAAAGTTTCCTGCGTATTTTAGAAGTAATCTACTTGATTACTTAGCCATCCTTAATAATCATTAAGTCTAAACCTTGCTTTGTCACAGTTAAACTTATTATCTTGCAGATCCTGGAGGAGAGTTTTCTGTCTTCTGGGACAAAACCTGACACACAAACATTTGCATCTTTCCATCCTACATCCCAGACAGCCGAAATCACTTCAAAAAACTTGTGCCATGAACCACTTTATCCAGAACGCTGGTTTGCTGCGTTCTCTTGAATTCAATTCAAATGCCTCACATTCCTCCCAAGCTCTCTACACATATTGACTGTTACACATTATAATACAGCTCTGTAACGTTCTAACAAAACCTAGCTTTCCTACTTGGTGCTGAGCCCTTTTGCAAGATCTGTAGGAATAGGTGAGCATGCAGATACCTCCTTCTAGAGCGATCAGAACAATCCTTTCCTTACATCTAACTGGGCATAGTGCAGATGTGCCTTCTACTCTGTTCTGTGATGTCCTGTGACTCCAAAACAATGGAATGGATGGGAGTGTTTTTATCCATGGTATCTCCAGATACTTTTCTAATAAACTACTGCCTAGCCTACAGTTATAGCTAGCCTTGTAGTATTACACTACCAAACCAATCTACTACAAGTTGTTCAAAGCTTCTCAGTTAAAGCTTACACTATCAAAACAAATGCCGTAACTTTACAGCTCTCCCGCCAGTGCTGACAATCAACACACATCTATCACAGGAAAAAGCAGTGGACTGGCTGACCAGCCTAGAAGTACAAGTCTGTTAGTGCAAAGATAGAAGCAGATAGCCAAATGGCAGGATTTTCTGTTTAACTCTTCAATTTTAGATTTGAAATCTGGACATGGGAAAATGCACAAGTGTCCTTAAGCTAAAAGCTGAGGCTGGATTACCTAGCCATAGTTAGCTTGGTGGCACGGCAGAATGTAAGGACTGCACCTGCTCATAATAGGAAGGTGACTGGCAAGAGATTCCATGTAAGCCTGTAATAATTATTATATCATCTGGAAGGTTCAGGTCTAAATTGCTTGTACCCAGTTTCTGGTATGGCAAAAGAAATATTGCAGTAGTAACCACCATACAAAGCCTTCTGCTTACTCTAAGTTATAATAACAACTGTGAACACTAAATATTTACTTAGCAAATAAGAAACAGATGTGCAAGTGAGAAAAACAAGTTTTACCTGAGGTATCTTCTGGCATGTTCATTTTTGTGGCCAACCATGAGATAGTAGCAACCTACTGCAAACCATGACACCTACAGATTACAAACCAAGATAATTATTAGATATACAACATTGATTTCAGTGAAACATTGTAGCAGGTTTTACTTCACAGGGGAACAGTGTATAGCAGATAGAATGCTGGCACGTTTACATCACTAAATGGGTTTGTTCAGCCTCAAGAAGAGAAAGCTAAGTGCAGAGCTAACTGCTGCCTTCAATTTTATCTAATGATAGGGAATACAGAAGACAAAGCCAGCCTCTTCTCATAAGGAGCACAGTGACAGGATGGGCAGCATGGACAAGCTGTAATATGGGGAATTCAGACTAAATAAAAGGAAAACAATTTTCACAATGAAGGCAAACACTGAAACAGATTGCCCAGAAAGGCTTAATTTATTACTGTTATACATTTTGAATGATTACTCAAAGTGAAATCCCTCATACTGAATGTTTTATGACTACTCTTACAAAAAGAAATCTCTATATAAAAAAATTACAATCCACAGAAAGAGGTGTGAACAATTTTACTCAGTTCTGATCACATATATATACACACACACACACATCTCTCTCAAACTGACCATTACCACTTTTGTTTGCTTTTATCTAAGGAAAACTACCTGGTAATGGAGGCTTAGAACAACTTACAGGATTATTTGGGTACAAATCCACCAGTTTATGAGAAAGATAGAAGAGCTCTGCAAAAGGGAGAAAAAAAAGAAAATTAAAATATGCTAAAACATTCAGATGTTTTGTGCCCCTTAGCCTCCTATATGAATATGCAGCATGTCTAGTGTTATTAATACACCAGGTACAAAAATGTTTTAGTGGTCGTGCTTCACATTGCCTCAATATAGATGCACTTTTGCAACTAGATAAACCAAACAAATATATCTTTGCAGTACACAAACAAGCAGCTACCCATCTCACTCCTTGAGAACCCTGCAACAACTCTGGTAACTACCATACATCAAAATAAATGCCTGCAGAATTACACTTAAATCTATTGTGCGAAGGTAAAACACAGTTCAGCTTACTGCATCTAAAAAGGTATAATGTATCAGCCAGATCAATTTCAAAATGAGTCCTGTGCACTAACATGCCAAAGACATGACAAAAACCAACTTAAACATTCCATGCAATTACTTCTTTGAATAACTATAATTATTTCTATTAGAAAATTGACTGCAGGTTTCAGGAAATAATCAGACACAGGATAACAATTTTAATGCCTTTTGAAATTGCATTACAGTACATAAACCAAGTGTTTCCTCAGAGCATGGTGTTTCTAAATTGATGCGTTCTGTACTTGAGTGCTCTGCATCAATTCCTCTGTTTCAGAAAAATCAAATATGAAAAAAAACCTTAAAAAAATATCAGCTTATTTACAAAAAGTTCTCAATGCAGACTTAAAATAACTGAACACTGGAGATAACAGTACACCTACTGACCTATTTGTGTACTACAGTGCACTATCCTCAGAGAGACTGTGAAACATATGAGCTCCTTATTCTATCTCCCAATTGGTATTGAAGACATTCAAGGCCTTCACTTGATTTGCACTTTATGTGCAGTTTGAAGTGAGAAGTCATCCCAGCTGCGAGCTATTCTCATAATTTCAAAGGTGTTCTCTGGTTATAGATTTATTTCAATTGAAAACAGACCTTCACAATAGGAAAAGCAAGGAGAGAACACAAAAGCTTTTTAATATGGAAAAAGCACTACCATCTAAGCACACACAATGCTGAAGAGTTCCTCCTAGTTTAAATTAACATATTTTATTTCATTGCTGGAGAAAATTATACCTAGATACTCTAGGAAGAACAACTGAAAACATAATCAAACAATTGAAGTGGAACAGTAGAGTTCACAAACTTTTTGGGTATGTAGCCCAGGAATTAAAAGACAGTGACACTTGTGATCACAAGTGAGTACAGATTCTTTGCACAACTACTTCCCTGTCCTTCACCATTAGCTCTAGAACTCCTTTCTTTTCCACTTGGCATTATTCTCTTGGAACCACAAAGAGGAAGAGAAATACCTGTGTTATTTTTCACATCAAAATTTTAGGAGTGGCTATTTCTAAAATGGCTCATAAGGGAATTTCTTAGCATCTTTTAAGCTTTTTTAAAATTGAAGCCTGGCAGCGTTCTTTTAACTGTCATTAAATGTTGTGTTTCTTACCATTTGCTTTATTAAGTTCCACAAGTGTCCCTATATGGACAGGTAAACAGTTTGCATGGAAAGGATCCTTTTCCATCACTCTAAAATAAATAAACAAATAAATTGAAATGCACATTTCAAAAGCTTTAATGTGTTTGAAATAGGCTGTTTTTATACTGTGTAATGTTCCAGTTAATTACACCTTTCAGCATTAGACTACTATTTGTAACTAGACTGTGTCTATTACCAGCACAATAAAGTTTTAAGACCACAAAAATAACCATTCATTTAACTTAACAGGACTAACACAACATCTTGGCAAGCTGAGTATACAATCAGAATAACTACAACAACAGAATACAGTATGTGTTTGCTTGCAGGTCACCTCTGATTTAACTAGCAGACAACAATATTACTGTTCTCTGTCCTGTAAGTTCCATGGGTTTGTCAGCAACTTTTCTGCACTTTTTCTACTGTACTTTCTGAGCTTATGGAAATAAGCTCTACAACATTAAGCAGCATGCAGCAGAAGAAACAGTTAGCTCAGTTTTAATATTTTTATTTATAGTGACATTTAGAAATGGATTACATGCAGGACACAGCTTGTAGGCTTGTGCCCTTTTTCTAAGCATTGCCATTTGGTAAAGTAAGCAGAGGGAAGCAAATGCCTTGAAATCTGCAGAATCTCTTATATCAAAAATACAACAGCTATGACTCTGTTTTCCAGGACGTACACCTTCAGATAATTAAGAGTTTTGTTGACATTTAAAAATAATTCAAAGTATTTCAAATTAGAACAAAAAAGTATAAAGGTTCTCTGTAAGATTCTAAGCATTTGTTATTCTACAGACTTCTGAGATTCTCATTTCTAAGCTCTAGAATGTGTAATAGTCTCCTCTTTGACAGTCATGTACTCCTGCTACTTTCTGCTAGAGGAGTGGCAATTATGAAGTTTCAGAGAAAAAAGTATGATTTAAATGACTTCATTGGAGTCATTTATTTCAACAGAATCATGTTTTTTTTCTCAGTTGTTTAAGCTCACCAAAGCAGTCAGCATTCTCTGCAGCCTTTCCAAAAATCTTGCCTCTACTGACTTCTAAAGGGTACTCTACATGGCGATGGTTTGAGATAAGAAAAAGCTGTTCTGTAAACTGAACCTTTTGTTTTACAAGACTCACGTTCTGAGACTATGCAGTACACACACAAAACTAGAGTTTTCTTACAAAGGAAGCTATCAGGCCAGTAGACAAAATAGCTCCAGTAGTAAGTAAGTATTGAGCTTTATGTTACTTGAAAAGCAATCCATGTTGTTCTGATCCATCTGACAACCCAACAGCTGTGCACACCCTGGCTATCTAACAACTGACAGGCAATTTCACCACCAGAGAAATCATACTCTCTAACTAACCAACTGAACCAGATCTGTTTGTTCTGCAGGCCAGATCAAAAGCAGGCAGATAACATGGAAAACTGAGAATGACCAGAAGAAAACAGCACAATGCTGATACATTGGAGTTTTGCCCTGGATAATTTTGCTACAGATTACAGAAGCAGCATGTACTACTGGGCACAAACCACCCATTTTAACTACCTGAAATTCTGTATCAAACTTATGCATGAAGGGGACAGAATCTTTAGCAAGGTCTGTTGTGATAGGACAAGGGGAAACGGTTTCAAACTAAAAGAGGAGAGATTTAGATTGGATGTAAGAAAAAAAGATGCTTTTTATGATTATAGGGTGGTGAAGCACAGGCACAGGTTGCCCAGAGAGGTGGTGGATGCCCCACCCCTGGAGATGCTCAAGGTCAGACTGGACAGGGTTCTGCACACCTGGATCCAGCTGTAGTTGTCCTCGTTTGTTGCAGGGGAATTAGACTAGATGGCTTTTAAGGCCATCAACTCAAATGATTCTATGATGAATTGAACAGTCAGTCCAGTTCTAATTACTATTCCACAAGATATTGCAAAAAGACTCTTAAAAATCACTTTGTATACTTACAGTGAAGTACGCTTGTAACACATTTTGAAGTCACAGTTATAATAATGTCTTTCAGCTAAAGACACTACTACATCCAGGTTTTCCTGAAGACCATTTACTGATTCAGGAATCAGTGTTTCACTGGGTTTATTATACTGCAAGACAAAAGAAACACAACTTGAAAATCCAATCTAATATCAGATGCTATAAATATTTATTTAGTTCTAAAAGAATATAGCTACATAAAGCTTAACATTCTTTGTTTTAAACTGAAAGTGAGTAAAATCTGTATTTGATAAAATGGTTCTTTACAATGTACTTTAAAAGCTCATTTGGAGCACAATAGATGCTTGATAATGTCAATATATGAAGTATAATCTGTACAAACGAATATTGACTTGGATAAAGTTGGCTTCCAGTACTCTCACGTTCTCTTCAGAAAAAAAGATTTTGGAAGAATGTTGTTATAACCTATTCTTTACCTGAAAACACATTTTGCCTACGTTGTTAATGTACTCTTCCCCACCTAAACATTTCTCAGAAAATAAAGCTAAACCAGATGGGATTATACAAAACTATTATACTATCTTTCATCAAATGGTATCTACTGCATCAAAATTCACAAAACAATGAAATAATGGCCAAAACTACAAAGCACTTGTATTTCGAAAGCTCAGAGTAAAAACACTAACAAAGAACATTTTCACCTAGAGTCAAGATTTAAATGCAACTGAACAGCTTTTTAGTCAGCTTATGGTTTTACCTTTTTCAATTTATTCTCAAATAAAAAGTGCAGCAATTCCTGTTCTTCTTCTGTACACTGTTTATTAAGAGGTAGAGATTCAAGAAGTTCCTTTTCTATAGGAATTAAAGAATAATTTAAAAGTCACATTAGAGTAAAAAATGACAAGAACAAACAGTAGGAACTCAGATGCAAAAAAAAACAGTACAGATGCATTAAAAAGAGAATATTAATTATGGAAATTAATTATCAAATTCTCACTGCCCTCTACACTTTTAAATGAAACTTAATGACATAGCACACCATTACAGTAACCCATTTTACATGTGAGTTTACCTCTCAGAATGCTCTATTTAATAACTCCTACTACAGGGATGCAAAAACCAGCAGGATTTTGTGAATTCAAAGGCTGTGAAGTTGAAAACAAGGAATAACATTGCTCAGGCTGAACAAAAAGCATGGGAGCTTCTGCAGCTAACAAATGAGACAGCTGGGTTACTCTGTTCCTTTTAATTCTTAGAACTGCAAGACTAGAAACTAATGTTCAAATATAATCTGCTCAAACTTGTAATTTTCATTCATTTCATAATTAAAAAAACTTTTAATATAATTATCACCTAGTACTTTTCTAGCAACTGAAGACAACTTTTACTTCAGCTTTTAAACTCTGTATTGCTTTTTTTTTTTTTTTTTTTTTAAATGCAAGAAAACAGCATATTAAGAAAGCAGATAAATTTTACTTGTATTTGAGAAACACTGCTATCCAGACCTTCTTGTGCTGTCAGCATATGGTGCGATGTTAAAAGATCAAATGCTTCAAAGCAGTAAACATCAAGCTTCAAGGCTTCTTTGTAGCTGTGTGTTGCTAGGGTTCTATTATCCAAAGCATCATAGATCTTCCCTCGCAAAAGGCATATAGAGCTCTTGATCTGGTGGAAAAGCAGGGCTGGAGGTCAAAGACTGAATCAATGTTTGCAATTTGCTTTTGAGCACAAATGAAATGGACTCCCTGAAAAGTAAAAAGCATTCATGTATGATGGAACCTGGTTTTCTAGCACTGTTTTCAAATATAATAGTTTCTATGAGCTTAAGAATCAAATTAATACGTTTTGAGGTTATTTACAGCCAAACAAACACACGCTTGAAATAAGTAGAGGGGAGACAGGAGTCTGTATTTCCTGCTTCGAGCATCCAACCTCTGCCACTGAATTATAAGACAGATAAAAGACATTCTTGTTATGCTTCAAAGGGAAATGGACACTTCCACACCTCTTTCTTTTAAACAACACACTTCTCATAAGACAAGAATGTCTCCAGTAAAGATGAAAAAGGCCAACTCAGTGAACTCAGCTACTTTGGGTAGATGTATTTTTCTTTTCAATCTAAGACACAGACAGTAATGAAAAGATAATTATTACCAAATAAGAGCTAGGGCATCTAATAACTAACATGTTCTTTCAAAACTCCAATCTTCGGTTCAATCAGAAGGCCAGAGAACTGTCACCAAGTTACTCAGAAAAAAGTTGTGAATAATGCATGTATGTTGTCACACTAACCAGGCAAGTTATCTTAGAAGTCTGCATACTAGAAAGAGTACAGCTGTTTAACAACCAATAAAACCTGGGAGGCTGGTAAAGAAAGGGTAATACTGTTCCCACTCACTCTTAGTCCAGAACAAGCATTGGTGCACATCAATCAAATTAGTAAATTTTGAAAAAGCTACGATCCTAGTCAGGAGTTTGCTGTAAATTCCTTGTAACAGTTTCAACCTCACTAGTTCCCTCCTTTGGCAAACCAAACCTACTCACGAATGGAGGGAGAACTACACTGTCACAAGTATTCATGAAGATAAAGGCTGAGGAAGTTGAGTTTTTTGACTGGATTATTTTTCAGACAAGATAATTGCTCAATTCAGTTCAAGAATCAGTCAACTAGATGCTAGGGCAAAAGTACCATGAAACGGGGAAAACAGGAAAGGATAAAGAATGAACAGCCAAAGCTGTTTTTTTGTTTCTTTCTTTCTTTTTTTTTTTTTTTTAAACTTTGTTAGCCTGGCTAGCTTAAATGTATCCATTAAAGTGCAACAGAGTAATCCTCTTCTGGTATAAGCCAACTAGTATGAAGTCTACATAAGGCGGTATTAGAAAAAAAAAAAAAAAAAATCAGTTCACATTGCCAATTTAACTCATTTTGCTGCTCCAGTTTTTCAGGGAAAAATCTGTTTGTCAGCCCCCCTGCTCTAGTTTCAGCTGATGAACTTCAATTTACATCTGGACGAACAAACCCTTCACAAAGTCTTAGCCTAAATATACACTGAGAATCCCCTCTGTGTGCCTACACAGAATTTTGTCCACTTCAAAAAACTTCACTCAATTGCCACATCATTTCCAAGTGTGACAATGTGGAAGGAACTCTTTCATTAAAAAAATACCTACAGGAGAGGAAAACCTGTGTTATTACCTCAGAACCTGAAGCACAACTGAAATAAATGTTATTTTACATTACCAAGACAGAAACTGCACTACAGAGCTCAAAGACTCTAAAAATCAATGCCAGATTGAGAACATCCTTCTGTAAATTACTGGCAGGATGTTTCTATAAAATGTAAAATGAAGATTTAAAGTTTTTTTTCATACGTGCAAGCCAATACCTCACTTGTGAGTTGAAAGAGGAATGATTCAGCATTTTTGAAAGCCACCTTATCCAGAAAGGAGTACTTAGACACCTACAGCTGCAAAATCACTTTCTGACTTCACACACACTTTTTAGTTATAAAAGTAGTTATTTTTAAAACATCACTTACAGAAGATTGTGACATCTCCCAGTCTGTGGTAGAGTCTTTCAATCCACTTTCATCCTTCATGTACTTCTCAAAGAGTCTTTTGTTGATTGGCTCTTCCATATCAAGAATATCCAAGGCCTGTTGATGTTCTTTGGCAGCATACTAGCCACAAACATGTGTGTGCAAAAAACAAGGTTGGGATTTGAAACATCTGTACATTACAAGTCAATAAGCCTACTGTTACATTTCAAAGGCACAGATTATAACAACTAGTATGTGCCAGTAGGGTTTACATCCAAATTTGAATTTACATGCATACATCATTTTACTGTTATAATCTATTAAATAAAACTATTTCACCAGCCATTAATAATACAGGACTTATATTAAAATCATTCACATGCTTTCCCCACAAAATATTAGAAAAATATTTTCTGTTCTGGACGAAGGGTCAATTGGATTTCTGCACTACAGTACCACAATGGATACTCCAACAACCATACTGAAGGCTAATGGTTGAAATCAACTGTCCCAAAATTTAAACTTGTTATTCCAATGAATGTTGAGCCTCAAACATATTTAATCTTCCCAAGACACGCCTATTATTTAGTTTGTTTCCAGTAGAGGTAAAAAATGTGTACTCACATGACATCTAGCTGCAAGGTAGCGACATGCTTCATATAACTGGAAGAGAAGTTGCATTCATGTTAGTAACAAAGAAAGAGAACTCTCCCATTTTTCAATTGTAGAGCTTCTCCCACAAATCTTGCTGATCAAAATGACTACTTAAGTATGTAACTTCTCATACTCAAAGGACACTATGATCATTCTTGTCTTGACCACACTCATTTGCAGAGCAGAAGACAACTGGAATATCTACTCTTTAAGTGACACCCTACCTCTCCACACCTGCTGCTGTTCCTACCTTGGACCCCTACCTCATCTGTGACCCACCCTGGGCCAATACATAGAACAGTTCAGTTGGAAAAATCTATGAAGATCACTGACCAACTGCCTGACAACTTCAGGGCTAAACAGAAGTTACAGCATGTTACTGAGGGCATTGCCCAAAAGCCCCAGGAACACTGACAGGCACAGGTCATCACCCATATTGCTAGGAAGCCTTCCAGCACTTTATCTCCCTCACAGTAATGTTTCCTTATATCTAGTCTGAAATGTATTGCTGTATTTGGTGCAGGTAAACTGCATTATGTAGGTTTTATAATCAATATTCCTGGGGACCTTAACCTCTGACAGTGAAGAAGCCACTGTGGTTAACAACAGAGGTTTGTAGGTGGAACAACAGTAATTCATCTAAAATGACTTACCTTATCCAATTTACGTGATCGAAGGGCATGTGCTGCCCTATGATACTGAGCTGTTAGGTAAAGACACTGGGCCAACCAGTAGATATCTTGAGGTTCCTCTTAAAAATAAAGAAGAAATTATAAACCGTCAGTTGATACAACATCTTTAAACACTTTCATACAGAATATTTACTAGAAGAATATTGGTTTTCCACTATTCCAGCACACCATGATGTAAAGGATAATACATATATAAAAACAGCTTTCTATCTCTGCAAGGTTAAAATGGAAAAAGTTTAGATTTCAAAATTAAAGACATGTGCATAAAAGAATGAATACAATGAACTATTTACTAGAAGTGCATGAGAAGGAGATAAAAGTGATAAAGATTTAAGAAAAAACAACAATAAAGAGCTGTCTATGGGAGCTATAAGCTACCCTGCCCTTGGAAATAGCTGGAGCACAAAAACACAACTCAGAACTGTCTCCTACTGAAAAGATCAAGGGAAAACTGAAGCGAAAGCTGATCAGACTTCTGCACCTCTATCCACGCTGGCTGAAGCAAAGCTTAACAATATAAATTATTAGCAGTCTAGGCTTTTTGTGATCAAAGCCCTACCACCATTTAAAGAAATGTAAGTAGACTTAACCAGAAAGAGGTGACAGAAGGACAAGGCAACATGCTAACGCTTACCATGAGACAATGAAGCTACTTTGTCAGCCCAGAACAGGGCACTCTGATACTGCTGCTGTAAAGGAACGATAGAAATTATTACTATGATTTACTGGAAATTTGTTTTCCTGGCTTATCTTAAAATCTATTACACATCCCTCGCGTTTAATGTCGGATTACATACGAATGGTGAACGACACCCGAGTTCCTCACAAGTTCAAAAATCAGTGCGAAAGGGGGCAGTCCCACAGCATCCGAAGGATACCAAGGTTAGCAACGTGAGACGGGGCTGTTCCGCAGTCCGTCCCCGCTGCCCCGGCTCAGCCCAGCTGAGGGCCGAGGGCTCAGCCTGGGGTTACCCCGCGCCGGGCCTCAGCGAGGCCCCAGCCCAACTGCCGCCGCCCCGCGCCTCACCTGGTCGATGTAGTGCCGCACCCGCTTCCTCAGCCGCTCCAGGTTCATCCTCCCGCGGGCCGTGTGAGAGCGCGGAGCCCGCCTCGATGGCAGCGCTCGCCGCTCCGCCCGGCCGGGCGCGCTCCTGCCGTGCCGCGCAGAGCAGAGCGGAGCCGCCCCTTCCGGCCCCGCTCGGAGCCGGCAGTCCCTTCCTGACGGCAGCCGCACCCCGAGCGCCGCGTTCCGGGAGCGAGGCGGCTGGTGTAGGGTTGAGGGCATAAAAGGCCGCCAGTTTCCTTTAAACTCGGTTCATTCGTTTCCTGCTTTACGCGTGCCGGTCTTCTGACCTCTCACAAATCTACAGCTTCTAAGCAGGACCCCAGGGGGCCGTCTTGGGTCCGCTACTGTTTAACGTCTTTATCAGTGATGTAAGATGATGGGATGGAGTGCAACCTCAGCAGGTGTGCTGATGGCACCGAGCTGAGAGGTGTGGTTGGTAAAGCAGAAGGGAGGGATGGCGTCAATAGGGAGATTTAGATTGGATGCCGGAGATTAGATTTTTACTGAGAAAGCTGTTGGAGAGGGTCCAGAGGAGAGCCACAAAGATGATCAGGAGGCAGGAACACCTCCACTGTGAAGACAGGCTGAGGGAGCTGGGCTTGTTCAGCCTGGAGAAAAGAAGGCTGCGGGGTGACCTCATTGCAGCCTTTCAGTACCTAAAAGGAGCCTACAAACAGGAGGGGAATCAACTCTTTGAAAGGGTTGATAATTGCAGGACGAGGGGAAATGGTTTTAAGTTGAGGGAGGGAAGATTTAGGTTGGATGTCAGGGGGAAATTCTTTACAGAGAGAGTGGTGAGGTACTGGAACAGGCTGCCCAGAGAGGCTGTGGACACCCCATCCCTGGAGCTGTTCAAGGCCAGACTGGATGGAGCTCTGGGCAGCCTGGTCTAGTGTTAAATGTGGAGATTTGTGGCCCTGCATGTGGCAGGGGGGTTGGAGATTCATGATCCTTCAGGTCCCTTCCAACCCTGGCCATTCTGTGATTCTGTGAGGTGCTGGAACAGGTTGCTAGAAAGGCTGTGGGTGCACCGTCCCTGGAGGTGTTCAAGGCCAGCTTGGATTGGGCCCTGGGCAGTCTGTTTTAATACATGACCCAGTGGCTGGCAGCTCTGCCTGTGGCAGGGGGTGGGAACTTGATCCTTGAGATCCCTTCTAACCCAAGCTGTTCTGTGATTCAGTGAAAAGAAGCTCAGCTGGGATTTTTGTAGTTTACAAACTACTGATTGGTAGAGCCCACAGTTTGCTTAAAAGCATCACATTCTCCTCACAGATCAAATATAGTTTTTCTATATTTTCTAGTAGGCCAGTGAGCTGCTGAACCTGAGGAAAGAGCAAGGGATGCTTAACCATCTCAGCAGGACAGAAAGAGATGGGAGCTGGTGCTCATCTCTAAGGCAGAAGACTTGGTTGGGGAAGAAAAAAAAGATACACAGGAAGTGTGGGGGTTGGAAGAGAAGAGTCTGCTCTTGTTGGGGTGTGTGAAGATGCTGAGCATCTCAAGAGAAGCTGCTGTGACCTGTGTAGAAGATCTGCAACCTACAGCACCCTGGGGAGGCCCAAGAAGTGTTCTGCTCAGGTGAGAAAACTGAGACACAGAAATGCACACAGGATATGTTATTCTTTTATCTCTATAGCTCTTATGTTGTCATATTAGAGTCCATCATCCCAGGTTGCTCTGCAATGCTTGTGTGTCATGTGCTGCTTTCTTCTGTTCTCATGAAAGCTTGGCTCATCCAAGTGAGTCACTGCTCAGGTGAGAGCTGTGACATGGTGCCTGAACTGCATGAGGAGGCTCAAGCAGTGCTGCTCTACAGGGCTCTGGCAGTTGGGATCCAGACCCCTTTCTGCAAAGGGGAACCCTTGTCTTGCTGATCATGAAGTACCTTGTTGTTTATAGAGCATCCATAGGCAGGCTAGTCCTTCTCTGGAAGTGATGGAGGAGTGTGGTCAAAGCAGGCTGAGCCATGGCACTGTGAACAACAAGCTGTGATTCGGTGATTGTGAGGTATTGGTTGAGAGGGGAAAATTGAATTTTAAGTTTTCTCACAACCGTATCAGTTTCTCTTTCAAATTCAAAAATAGTGATGTGCTGCTGTGGGTAGAGCTCATGGATTGAGATAAAAATTCTCTACTTAGACAAAAAAAGAAGGGGGAAAAGGATAATAGTAATGATAATATATATATCTATATGTATATATATATATATAACAAATGATGCGCAACACAATTGCTCACCACCCTCAGACCAATGCCCGGTGAGTCCCCACACAGCACCTGCTAGTCCAGCCAACTCCCCTGTCTTATAGTTTTTTTTCATGACGTGATGTCATATGGTGTGGAATATCCCTTTGGCCAGTCCTGATTCTGTCCCCTCCCAGCTCCATGTGCGCAACCCCTCCCTCTCACCCCACCCCCAGACTTGCTGGCAGGGTAGCATGAGAAGCTGGGAAAACAAAATGTCCTTGGCTCTGTATGGCTCTGCTCAGCAACAACTGAAACACTGGTGTGTTCTCAACATTGTTTTTCTCTGCAAGCCAAAACATGACACCACAAAGGAAAAATCAACTCTGTCCCGATGGAAAGCATGGTGTGCTAAACTATTCTGATGGTTAAGTGGCACTGATATACATACTGCTTTGCTAGTAGTACTCAGAGATGTGAAGGCAGGGAGAGTCAGTTAAAAAATGCTTTAAAAATTTGCATTCTAGTATCTCAAATCTTGAGAGGAGGGGGGGGGGCTGCAGAGTCATATTAAAACTTTCTCACTTTTGGAACTGTCTGTATTTTATCTGCACTGAGAACCTTCTTGCTTTTCTTTTTCTTTTGATCTAAAAATATCTTTAGGTACTGTATTCTCATAGTAGCACACAGCTTCCTGCTGATGCTTTCTTTCTTTTTTTTTTTCCTGAATCAGTTTCATGCTTGTTCATGTAAACTGGTTCCAGTTAAGGTGTGAATGTTCACTTTGGGTTTTTATGTGAAAAAGTTTTATATTGGAAAAATAAGCTTTTTTTCAGACTTGGGCGTTGTAACTGAAGTGAGGTGGTATATTAGGGCTTTGGAATAGAGGACTATGTTGTGGTGAGAGAGGTTTCACAAATGCTCCAGCAGCAGATTGTCTTTCTGGGATGGTTTCAGAGACAGTTCCAACTCAGATGTTTTGTGTAGATAAGAGGAAAATTTCCATGTGAACATCAGGAAGCACTTCTGTGCTGTGTGGGTGACAGAGCTCTGTGTCGTCACAGGAATTGGCAAACATATTTCACACAGTTATGTTTAGCAGTGATCTAAGATTTTTTCATTAATATGAGATAGATCAAAGGATTGAATTTTGTTGGCACTTAATCATTAATTAATTTAGAGATTAATAAGGTTATTTATTGAAATACGTAACGATTCAACAGTGACTTGATTACAGTTTGATGGATGACAAGATTCGCATTAACTTACTAACAGGATATCCTGTTAAATCAACGTACAGATGTGAAAAAGATACTCACAGGAGCACACATAGATAACCAGAGATATGTGGATCCAATAAAATATCTCAGCATCCACGCTTGTGAAACAAGCATGTATCATTAAATAACATATATGAATCGGGAGGTGGATGGAAGAAGAGTAAGCTAGCCTATACTTAGCATTTCTCTCTAGTCGAGTTCAGAACAATACTCACAATACATTCATGTTCCTCAATGAGTGATGACTGAGGCTGACTTAAGTGAGACAACTTTGTCCTGGCCACTGTTGATAGAGAGCCCTGAGGATTTGGTAGCACACGGGAGGCATCCCAGCCTCAGGGAGATACTGGTCACTGCCTATTGTGATCCATGAGAGCTCAAAGGGTCTCCCTTAGAATCGCTATTTATAGGGTCCAAGGTAATTGACTTCTGACAGGTACTTTTTCCTACCAGCCCCTTTGGATGGCAAAGTATTCTGCTATCTGCCACAAGTTGCATCAACCTCACAACTTGTTGGACTCACAGATTCCTACTGCTTTCCTTGGGTCACAGTCTGGGTACAGATGTACTAGGCTGTCAAGAGATGATTGATTCCACAACTGTTCCCAGGCAATGAGATGAGAAGCAGGAGGCAGATGCCTTGGTGTTCCAATCCTTTTCCCCTCCCAACCCATGGGCAAGCAGGGGCCAGGCACAAGGAGTCCCTTTACATACTGATCCTCCACGTTCAATCCTTGTATTGCACCAAGCACCAAGAAGTCTAATAGAAGGGGGAGAGAAGTTGCTCCACCACACACTGGCACAGGCTGCACAGAATGCAGTCTCCTCCCTGGAGGTCTCCCAAAGCCACCTGGCTATGGCCCTGCTCTGGATAGCCCTGCTGGAAAGGAGTTGGGCCGGAGGGAGCCAGAGGGCTCTGCTAATCCCAGCCATCCCGTGTGATTCTGGTGTATGTGAATGACCTTTTACTGCCCTAGTTTTGAAGCCAGGGCTTGACAAATAACTTGTGGGGATGCATGATTCTGTCCCTAGGAAATAAGCTTTTGTTGGGCCTGCTGCTGCTTGCTGTTTATGGCTATCTGAATGATGTAAACCTACTGATATATTTTTTTTCCTAAAATAAAAAATTTTGGTATTTAGATTTGTTCTCTGCAGCAGATTTTGATTTGTTGTGGTAGTGGTGAGTGCAGAGTGATTCCATTCAGTCCTGTGGCTGGTATCAGAAGTAAACAAAATCACATTTGGATTCATTTTTTTCCAAGAGTTTAATTTTAGAAGAGTGTCCTCTTTCACACATGCTCTTATAAACCAGTATGGTTACCAGAGGTGCCAGAGATGCTTAAGGATGCCGTATGAGAACTGCTGAATCATGGCCTGAACCTCTGATTGATCACCTGAGGCGAGCAATGAGTCAGCCATGGGAGCACAGGTGAAGGCAATTCACCTGTGCTGCTGGAAGGGGTGGAGCCTGGCTGCACCTCTCTTAGACCCATTTAAGAGCTGACTACCAGGGGGAAAGGATCTCCTCTGGAGATCCCTTCTCTGGAGTTTTGGAGTGAGCCTAGGATGTGGGTAAGCATTCTATCTATTCTCTTTTTGTTATTGTAACTTGCTTAGCCAAACTCTCTTGTTTATTTTATAATTATAGCATGTTTATATTCATTGATTATACAGGTGTTTAATCTTCCTTGCTCGAAAGTCTACAGGGAAACTTGTTTTAAGTCAATAAAGAAAAGAGTTTTCTTTCACTTCTTGCTACTTGTAATAAAATATAAAGCTGTCCAATTTGAATTTTACCCCTGTGAGAAATACTTGCACTGTAAAAGGCAACATTTATTACAAAGCTCTACTACTGTCTACAGATAGGCTCCATGTGTAGAAGTTGTGGCATAGCAGTAAGGCTTGTTCCTGAGAGATGATTTCTGCTTCATTTAGATTTTCTTTTGAATTCTGTGTCCTTCAGATTTCTTCTGAGAAGCATATGAATTGGTTATGTTGGCTAGTATGCAATGTAATATGGCTCCATAGGGG